GTTACTATTATAAAGATTATTATTTTAATCAACATTTGTTAACACTTTTTTCAAATTTTCATTTACATGACTGCTTAAAAATGAACGTTCATAAAAAATTTGCTATAGCAATTGCGTTTATTTTCTTGTATTTTTTATATGAAATAATATTTTGTAAAATTATGTTCTGTTTTTATTTAACCAAGATATTCCAATATCGTTCTCAACATGAATTCCAAAATTATATCAAGATTATCTGTCATTTTTGTCAACATGCAATGCTAAAAACCAACTTACGGTGATTTTTGTTAAAGAAAATTACTATTTAAAAAGTCAATTTTTTGACAGTTGTTGACTACCAAATTCATAATTTCAGAATGAAATTCATATTTATATTCATCAAAAATACTCTTATTATATTTTATGTCAAAAAACGTATTTTTTAAAAAAGTTGACAGTTTTTTTGACAATTGCCAGCTGTTATAATTAATTAATTGAAAAACCTAAGAAATGAGTTTCCTTAAGAATTTATCGCCAATCATTTAAAAAAAATTTTGAATCGGTTAAGATATGTGAGCTGCAGTCACTGAAGAAAAATAATGATCGAAGTTTCCTCTTTTAATGTGTCATTACTATTCCAATTTAAGAAATTTTTTTATTTATACTATGAAAGTACTGTAATAACAGGGGTTATGTTTCCAACAATTCTTTTTTTAACATTTTTTAATGGCAGTCTGATCCACTATTTATATTTTTTCAGGTAATAGCCAGTTTCTTTTGCACCCTAGGCGATTTTCACTTTAATTTTCTTTCTTTTCATTATTTTTGTTTTAAATTTTAATAAATGTCAATAAATAACTGAAAACTCTTGGGAAAGAATAGGTATATTGAAATAAGATTTTGCAAGTTTTATTTTACATATTTCTAGAAAATAGATAAATAGAGAACAATATTCTGCAATCCAAGTTATTTATTAAATTCATTATATATATTATACAATTACAATTTATACACAGTCTTGTAATTGAAACAAATTGAAAACATTTAAAGTGTTGGTTGTTTTATAATAATTCTCTAATAATCTGAATAAATTGTTTTTAATTATAAAAAAAATTCGAAAAATTGAAATTAAGGAAACTTGAGTCATTTATGAGGAGTAATGAATATATGTAGGGCAGACATTGTCAAGAAGAAATTACTATTATTCTGCATTGACCAGGTAATATTACATACGACTTTGCTGCCAATGCGAGTTGCTGACGATAGCGTTCTCTCATTATCTCCAATATGAATTCATATTTTCTAATGCCTTTCAAGGTTACTGTAATTATAATCACGGTTACTTGTATAGATATAAATAATACTAGCTGAGTCTATTAAAAATTAGTTTTCCCATTAGTTTGAGCATACAAGATGCAAGGGCAATAGGACAAAATTTGCCTAGGGCTCACTTTGGTAAGTAAAATATTAAAAATTAATTCCAAAAAGTGGTAAAAATAAAAGAAGAGAAGATGTGGTTAAAAATATCTAATAGAATTATTCTCGCTTCTGTGGGGAAATTGTGAATTATATTGAATTGTTGATTGTATGTAAGCCAAGAGAAATTTTTAGTTTTTTTATCCTGAAAATAGTCATAGAAAACAGTTTCAGCATTGAATAAGTGTTATATATCGAAAGAGGAAATATGAGAGGAATGTTCATTTGCTTTTGAAATGAGTGTTTTTTAGACTAGAGGAAAATATAGGCCAGTCTATTTTTCGAAGATTATATTTGTGGGAATAGAAATGGGAGAAAGGAATGTGGACTCCTAGGTTAGTAATTATACTGGAAAGTGGTCATTTCCCATTGGGTCTTTCCATATTTCTTGAGACCGAAGGTATAAAGTTAGAGCTGACAAAAAAAGGTCGAGAATTGATGGAGATTCATTTGGTCTATTTACAAAAGTTGGTGTACCGTCATTTAAACTAATAAGATCTTTAGAATCAAGTGCAGAATAAAGAGATTCTCCGTTTTGCCACGAACGGGAACTACCCCATAGGACTATAGGAATGGAATTACGATGGGAATAATTAACCCTCTGCCTACGCAAGTGACCGTTATCGACAAAAAACGACAATTCGGTCGCCTGGTGGGATATATGGGAACGATATTCAAAAGCGCTAGAGTGGGGATAAATCAGCGTAGGCAGAGGGTGAAAGTCGCCTCGTATGAAGATACTAGAAGAATTTGTTGCAAATGCAGAATGTAGGAAGTTGGTCCATGTATTTTTAAAAGTATTTCTGCCTGTCAATAGAAATGGAGAAGGTTTCTAGACAGTATTCTTTATTAAGAATGGTGGAAATTCATGTAAATCTTATTCCTTTTTTATTGCAAGAGCTAGACCACCTCTATTAAAGTTAGGTCTATCAGCTCTGATAATATATTAGAGTTAAAATTCAGACACTGAAAAAAAAGTGCTGTTGAATCAAATATCTCCATGCTATTGAATTCCTCGTCATTGATTCAATGACACATTTATTAATCGAAAAGTATATTGCTTAAAATGAAAAAATGAAACTGTTTAAATTAAAAGTACGGTACTGTAGAATTAATGATATTGTGCAAATTGTTTCTATAGTTCATCTATATATAGCAACAGAATTATTTTTTTGCTTCTTTGACATTATTCATTTGAAGCATCTAATAGATAAATTTGAAGAAAATGCGTGTAAATTTAAATCAAATGAAAAATTGTTTGCTCTAAAGAAGCGCGCTCTGAAAACGAAAGCATATGCTTTCGTTTCAATGAGTGGTGCTATTGCGGACTGCCTATAGCATATGCTATAAAAATAAGAACACTATGTTTTGAGACATTGACAGGTACTAAATTTATTGAAATACTTACCCACATATATTTATATGTTTATTAAACCTGTCGTTTTTGAGATTCCAATATAAAAAAGTATTATTTAAATTCTTTTAATTAATTAATGACTAGTTAAATATAAATTCCCTATATAAATTCCCTTATATACGCGAAAAATCTCGAGCACGGTATTTAACCACAAAGTAAGTGCCCAACGTTGAGAAGCGGATGTATTACATTGCAGCGCGGCGGTTCTCGTCTATCACGGAAGTTAAGCCTCGTTGGTCGCGGTTACTAAATGGATGGGTGACCGCTTGGGAATAGCCGTATTTTTCTGACTAAAAAAGATAAGTGTGTTTGAATGTGTATGTGTGTGTGTGTTTAGCCGTTGGGAAAAATGAAAATAATAATAAAGATGTATATGTTAGTGTGAAAAATTGAAAAAAAGATGTGTATAAAAAGTGTTGTATTAAAGGTGTGAGAATTAATTATAGTATATAAAAAACATGTGAACAAAAATTCCCTTTTTTCAATTTATCGTTGGTATATATTTAACCACATAAAAGAATTGAATTAACAGTATGGTGTTATTCAATCGATAGCAACAACTAAAAAAATTAAGAGTACAAATTTTTGAATCATAAAAATGATGCTTTTAAATTTAAAAGTTATAGTCATTGACTCAAAAGCATATACTGTTAAATTAAAAAATTTTGTTTATTGATTCAAAAGGATTCACCTTCGAATTAACATAGTATGCTGTCAATTTGAGAAATATGCTTTTGTTTCAAAGAAAGTGATACTATCGAATCATTAGAATCGGTGCTTTCAAAACAACAGCATATACGTTAGGCAGCCCGTTATGACACTATTCAATGAATCAAACCCATATGTCATTGATTCAACAGCATTTTTTTCTCCGTGGAGTGACCATACCGTAAACAGCTCCAGCAGATTTTGACAGGAGGAGTGAAAGGATCGACAGGAATAGAGGTGTTGAAAATGCTTATCTTAGAAGGAAGTACAAAATCTGGAAGTAATCTGCCTTTAAATGTTAAAAGGACAGTAAGTGAGGGAACATACTTAGTTTTATTTGTGTCTTCGTTAAAAGTTTTCGGAGGTAAACGTCTGACCTCTAATACAGTAGAATTCCAATTATCCGGACGTCCGATTAACCGGATTGTCGATTTAAAGAAAAACAGTTCTGCGGTTTTGAAGTTTGCTTCTGATTTGGAATGTACGGATAGAAACCCGTTTAGAAAAATTATGGAAACCTCTCAAAATAAAGAACTTGAAGCGTCAATGTTTAAATGGTTTTTGCAGCAGCGTTTTAAATAGCAGATTGAAATCTTATTACTCAAAATATATAAATCTTATGCTCATTTCGGTTATCTGGATTTTCGCTTATCCGGATCGGGTCTGGTCCCAATTGATCCGGATAATTGGAATTCTACTGTATTGATGATTTAAATAGATGCTTATTATAGAGGATTTCAATGTTTAAGTGATTATAAATACGTAACATCATTATTATCAATGTATTCGTGACACTTTGATACAATATTAAATATTCTTTTATCAGTTTGCAACCTCTTAGACCTTCTTGACTGCAATTGACGTATCGTGACCTCAGTGTCTGATTGTTCTTTTTGTAGTTTAGATAGAAATACCTAAAAACTAGGGTGATTTCTTCCTATTACGACCTGCACCCTATTGTACCACCTCTCGAAAATGTTATTTGTTCTCGCTGTTTGTTGAATTACCGAGTCGTACTGACTCCACAATTCCGGAATGTAAGTTGTCCCCGAATGTAAGTAACGTCCAAGTATTTTGATATTTCATGCATCTCTTCAGGTAATTCATTTTTCAAGGACTCGAATTCTCGGGCAACGTCTTGAGATGGCACGAAGGTTTAGCGAAGCCAGAGCACATATCATATGTGCAGCAACTTTTATAGTTAACAAGAAAATATTTACTATCAGAATATAGTTTAGAGAAATAGCAATTTCTGGAAACGTCAGAAATATTAAAACTATTCTGTCAGACTTAGCCATACGATTCAAAAAACGTAAAAATTTCTCACGTTTTATCATTAGTCATGACTTTATTTTTAGTTGGATATAAATATAATGTGTGTTTGCAAATAATAAAGAACAATATTTTCAAATTTTTTCAGTATTGCAATGGAAATGCACTGAATGAGGCACAAAAGAAAAAAAATGAACCATTTTCTAAAAAACTGTTTAACCCAGTAAAAAATGCTTTAGCCTCTGTTGGTATAATAAACAGTAAATCTGTTCTGCAAAAGAGGCACTGCTTTCATCCTGGTATTTCAAATTTGGATCGAGAAGGAATAGGTGTGAGAAATTCGACTTCTATTACCACGTCTCAAATGATTACAGCCATGTTCTCTCACATTTGGCCAAAGGTAAAAGTGTGGTTTTAATATGTTTTTCTCGAGCTACATACATTTTTATTTGGTTCGTTTGAAACTGCTCATAAATAAATTGCACATGAAAAGATGTATACATTAAACGGAATCATTAGATATTGAGAAAAATAATAAGGGATATTCCCGTAAGTTCGGCTGATGGTTAAGTCCGCTTTTTAATTAATTTCTCCGAAATATTATTTAACAGAAATTGCATTCAAGCTATTTTCTAAATTACATAAATTTTACTTTGCTAGAATTTAATTGAACATAATTTCTGTTTAATACAATTTCTATTTATTAAAATGTTCATATGCTAGAAATTTTAATTTAATACAATTTTTATTTGACCAAATTTCCACTTTATACCAATATCTCAAAAGTAGAAAAGTGTATTTGGCAGAAGTGCGTCCAAGCTCAATTATTGAAACATGATGTTCTTTTCTAACTAATTGGAAACAAGTACAGTAGAATCTCCCATAAGTTAACTTTCCATAAGTTATAATTTTCTCCTATCAAGGCCTAAGCACAACTAGAGATATGTAACATTTACATACATTTTGAGGTTAGAGAGCCCATATCAATGTTCGCGTTCGCGTTTTGAAAATCTGATACTAAGTTAGTAATCAGCGACTCCAAAAACCTCCGAGTACCGTGTTTGAAGCCATTTCAATATTCCTGAGTATCAATAACGCCTTGTTAACTTTAAGAGCATTTTTTCAAAAACTTGATTTTGATCGTAAGACTGCTCTTAACTGTCCCAATCGTATATTAATTTTTAATACGAAGTCTCAAATTCCTCAAATTGAAAATATTAAAATCTTAAATTACTTTTGACAGACATTACAAGGGAATTCCTTTTAGTCTATATATATGTTCTCGCGTCTCAGATAAAAGTGTTGACTAACAAAAAAATTATTTTTTAACATCCTTCACGCAGACGGAGACATATTGTTTCAAGTATTTATTTATATGAAATTTAGAGTGTAAGATAATAAATAAAGGACATGCTATGTGATGTAATTTAATTGATACAGATTCTTCATTTGCATTTATTTGTGAAAAATTTTAAGCTCACTAATTATTCTAACTGTTTGAGTATCGTCTTTTTTACAGAATGAAAAGGATATTAGAAATAGAGTTAAAATTGCAATTTCTTTATTAATTGGAGCAAAAATTTTAAATGTTTCTGTTCCTTTTCTTTTTAAATATGGAATTGATTCGATGAGCACCACTCAAAGTTTAGGGTCTTCTCCAGAAGCCATAGCAGCTGTAGCTACTTCAATCTTTGTCGGATGTAAGATACTAAAATTTAATAGTTTTAAAATTTTGTATACATATATATGTGACCTGGTCCAGGAAAAGGGGACTTAGGTATCAAAAAATGATTTTTCACTTTTTTGACGATTCGGATAGAATTTATTTGAGACGCTTTTTTTTACATTAGTGTAAAACAGAAAGTCGTATGTGGTTGAAAAGTTTATTAAAAGTAAGGAGAAAGAAGAGTAAAAAGCGAAAGAAAATGATTTTTTAAGTATGGAGTAAAGAAAATTCATCGATTTATAAGATAAAAAACTTTGTTGTATGCAAGATAAACATATTCTATGTTAAAAAAAAAACATACTCTACAAAAATTGATCTAATAATTTTTTTATTTTTCTATTGTTCTTCTTCTTGAAACCTTTTTACCTGTTGTTTTTGAGAAATAGGCCAGGCCGGATTCGTCAGTTTCTTGTTAAATGTTATTTTGTTAACATAATACTCGGTTGTTTTTTAAGGTCGCTGTTTACGAATCCGTTGTCAGATTATAAATATTCAAAATGTCGAATGCAATATGGCGGACGTGTTTTTAAAACATTCAACATAAAAGCTTGAAATTCATTACTTGAGGATTTTTAGGGTCGCTTAGTATGAATGTTATGACGGATCCAAATTGGCGAATGATACAAATTTTTCCTAATCAGCGACCCCAAAAACCCCTGAGTAATGAATTAACAAAATAGCAACTAGCGGGAAACTGTCAAAACTTGTTGTTTAACTTTAACAGTTGTTTTCTCGTAAACTTTTTTTCGCATATAAGTCCCTTTTCTTAGACACGATCACATATTATAATATCTTGTTTTAACAATTTACATACCGTCTTTTATGAAAAGTATATAGTCAGTTCTAAAAACGAAGAAAGAAAACAATGTGAGCTCAAATAGTTATTTGGTCGAAAATACATTTGATCGAAAAGCCATTGGATCGAATAGTCAGTTGGTTTAAATTCGATGAAATGTTTTTTGTGGGAAATTCATGCGCTTCCATAATCTTACTTCGTCTAGCGTAAAATAAAAATTCGTAGCAAATAAAATTCAAATAAAACCTAACCGTACCACTTTAAATAATGAGCATTTTACCAGAATGATGTTTCCTGATTAAAAAGATCGCTCATTTCAAATAACTTTGACAAATTTAAAAAAACCAAAGGTATCTGAATAAAATTGACGAATTTTTCTGATAAGGAAATCGAAAACTATAGGTCGAGCAGGTGACCGGTTTCGGCACTTATAAACTAAATGTCTCCAAGTCTTAAAAACAACTTCGTATTCACAACTCTTACTTCAATACATTCGCAATTCGGGGTTTCTACTGTTTTGATTAAATTTCAGGTCAGGGAAAATTTTACTATTTTGTTCGCCTTCTGTTTAACAGAATTTACCACTTGTGAATAGATCAGCAGCTATCCTTTTCTTTGTTGAAAAGACCATGCAATAAACGCCCAATATTAATGATAAATGAATAGGAATTTATGTTATAAAAAGTATTTTTAATATATTCCAGGGACAACTACGAGTCCGACAAATTAAATTTTATCAGTATACAAGGAATATTCCAGTTTCAAGGTGGAAATGATTCAATATAGTTTTGCAGAGATAATGGAAGTAGAATCGCTCAATCTAATTCCAAACCCTAAATCGGTAGAAGGAATGAAGTAAGCAGCACTTGATCTATTTCTAATTCTATTCTGAGACCCATCTGTTGAAAACACAGGTCTGCATGGTTTTTTCAATAATTAACTGGTTTTAGATGTGTTTTGGTGCGCTAAACATCATTCTGGGATCAAAAATTGCCTAGCATGTTATTTACATGTTATTTGTGTGCAGAACATTAAATAATTTAAATTATGATTATTTTGACCACAATGCAGGTCATTTTAGAATCATTGCACGAAAGTCACGAATCATTTGGAAATAGACAATTTAATATGGCGGCTAATCGTTAAATCACTCACAATTAGCAAAATTGTAAAAAATGCCTAAATAGGCTGTAGGCTTGCACTGTACCATTGAGAACATTTTCACAGAATCTCATAGAATAGAATGTTTTAAATCGGTAAATTATAGACGTGTGCAAAAAGCTCGAATAGCCGAGCCGGGCCGCAATTTTTTTGAGCCGAGCTGAGCCCGAGCCGGGCTCGATATATCGGGTACCCGAATTCACTCGAGTACTCGATTTAATTCAAGCTTTTAAATTAAAAAAATTTTTTTTTTAAAAGAAAAAATTTAATTAAAAATTAATGTAGAAAATTTTGGATTTTTTAAAAGGGCTCGAATCTAATCGAGTACTCGAAAATTTCGAGTACCCGAAATTATTCGAGCTTTTTATAAAGCTCGGCTCGGCCCGAGCTCGAACTGATTAGACTCGGCTCGGCTCGAAAAATGAAATGATCGAAAAATGATCGAGCTTCGAGCTTTTTGCACCCCTCTAGTAAATTAGTTTTTGGGTCTTTAGAAGACCCCTTAATATTGTCTTTTACACAAGTAGGCTTGACGTGCTATACAATTTTTGACTCCAGAATTGTGTGCAGAAAATAAAAATACTTTGAAAACCAGTCTCCTCTCAATTTAGCCTTTCACAATGGGTTCCATAAATTTAATTTCAGGATCAATCTACTAGAAATGTCTATATTCTTCTTATAATTAGGCTCTGTCCTAATTAGGCTCTAGCTACATCTATCATCTTTTTGATTCTTCATAAGTTTTCAAAAAAGGAAAATTTTTGGAAATTAATTTATATCTTCTTTTCTTTGATTTTGTAAATAATTATCAACAATAGTTTAGGGATTAAAAGTTTTCTTTTTCGAGAAAAACTATGGTGAAGTAATTTATTAACCAGCATAGTTGGATGAATTAAACTTTTTGGTAGAAAGCGGGATTCATTCAAGCTCTTGGTATATTCGATTGAATTCGATTTAATTTGCCTGAAATTGTGCAAACGAATTCGCATTCGCAAGAAATGACCAAGGCATGCTCGAATTCGTGCTGACGAATTAAAAAAAATTAAAGGCCCCAAAACTTGTCCATTGAATTAGTATGAATAGAAGGTTTGGAAGTTCAATACAGTTTGACGAATTCAGGAAAATTGCAACATAGCTCTAATTCGTATTCGTCACAAAGCGGGATTCACTGAAATTCTTTGTGAATTCTTTTTAATTTATTTCAATTAGTTTTTGTTTACTGGGATTTTGATTTAGCAGTTGAGGACCCAATAAAAAAGTATTCAGTATAGCCTTTTTGAATTAATGGTAAGAAGTACTTTTTTGGAAGAATTCTCAAAAAACATATTGCGACGGGCCTAAAGTAGGTATAAAATAATGTTGATTGCGAGAAGGAAATTTTATCGCAAACATTGAAAATTTCCTAAATCATATGGTAATAGATCTACACTATATGAATATACATGATTCCAAGGAGAAATGTACTAATTAATTGCAATGAAAGTGTCATACCTCATCCTACATATAAAATGTAAAGTTTTTTAAAAAAGACTAAACTTTATAATTATATGCTTCATAGTGTTTATATTCATTCTCACTAAATCTTCCAGGTGTTTTATTAGATTCATTCGGAATTTTATTAGATTTTGATAGTGTTGCAAAAAGATGGAAAAAAACGAAAATCTCGTCAAAAATACATATATATGGTAAACAAATGAATACCTAAATTCTGTCTTTTTTCTTTTATGCAACACTAGATTTTGAGAAAATTAGTTTCTTTAATTTTGTAGTAAGAGTAAATAACACACTTTTGCGAAAATGGTATTCTCATTTATATTGACAGAAATAATGGCTCAAAAGGACCACGGGATAAATACGTTTTAAATGTTCACCAGAATTTTCAAGTTAGCTTAACTAGAAAATGTTAACTAGATGCATCTAGTATCATTAACCAGAACTTTTTTTTGAAGGTATCACATAAAGATCGATGTATCGTCAAAAGTTAAAAAATTAGACTTTCATTGTTTTAAAGAATATGCACTATGTGATTACTATGTGAATACAACAGTTTTCACTCATTTAAAAGAAAGTGAAAAATAGCAATTATTCTTATCACTTTAATTTTTATATCATACCAAATGGGACTCGAATAAAACTGATTAACAGTTATCAATATATACAAAATATAGTATTAAGAAAAGAGCGTTTAAAATACCACTCACTCAGCTTAATCCATATCGTCCTCTGGCTTTTCAGATGGTATTGCTCGTGCTGGTTCAGCAGGATTTAATGAATTGAGAAATGCAGTATTTGCGAAAGTTGCTCAAAATTCTATTCATAAAATAGCAAAAAATGTGTTTTTGCATTTGCATAATCTTGATTTATCATTCCACTTGTCTCGACGGACGGGTGCGCTAACCAAGGTAAGAAAAGTTCTCATTAAATTATTCTATTACAATATTGACTTTTTAATATTCTATTCTTGTAATTAATCCTTATGTCGTCATCAAATAAAATTACTCTATTATAGACTATAGACAGAGGAAGTCGGGGCATTAATTTCGTACTGACAGCAATGGTATTTAATGTAGTTCCTACAGTTTTCGAATTAGTTTTGGTCAGTACGATTTTGGGACTAAAATGTGGACCCGAATATGCAAGTATAGCATTAGGATGCGTTCTTACTTATGCAGTTTTCACACTTGCAGTTACGCGATGGAGAACGAAATTTCGATTGAATATGAATGAGGCAGAAAATGAAGCTAGTAATAAGGCCATGGATTCTCTCATCAACTATGAAACTGTAAAAGTAAGTTTGAAATCTATCTTTTTTTAACGATTATATTGAAATGTTGTTTCCAATCAGAACGTACACTGAAAAAAAATTTCTGGTTAGGGTATATTTAACACGATATTCTAGTTAAAACAACCAGAATTCTGGTTAAATTAACTAGAATTCTGGTTAACCTAACCAGAAAAAATCTAGTTAGGGCATATTTAACACGAAATTCTAGTTAAAAACAGGTTTTCTGGTAATTCCAACCAGAACTTTTTTTTCAGTGTAATATTACCTTGACAATACTCGTTTGTTATATTATATAGTTTAGTTACTAGTGAAACTAATATGTTCTCGTCGTGATAATTTTCCACTGTGGTATTTTAGAAGAATCTAGAATAATATTTAGAAAAATATACAGTAAGCATAATTAACAGGATTTTGCGGTTGATTCCAGTAGAATTACTATACACTTCATGTTATCTAATCATTCTTCTTTCAAGATTGTAATTGATTTTTATATAAAATATTCCATTTGTTTTTTATAGTATTTCAACAATGAAAAATATGAAGCAGAAAGGTATGACATTTCTCTAAAGAAATATGAATTTGCTTCAATGAAGACAAGTACAAGTTTGGCCTTCCTAAATTTTGGACAGCAAGCTATATTTAGTTCAGCTCTAAGCCTAATTATGGTATTAACTGCAAAAGATATTTTAAATGGTTAATATTCATTTTTTAATTGAACTGTTTTTATTTAAAGCAGTACGTAAAATATATATTTATTTATCCTTTCTCTAAATGTCAGATAGAAACTTTTAACTAATTAAAAGTTAATAGTTACTACTTTGTAGAAACAATGTTACTTTATGCAACAGTTGTTTGTATATTTCGTATCCTGTTTTTAATGCGTAGACATTACATGACTTTTTAGTTTATTGTTATTTGTAAAGTGGTCATACAAATGATAATTTTTTCACAATTTATATCGCTGTTCACTGATTTTTTTAAATGTTCATGCGATATGATTCTATATTTTAAAAATCAGTGCGAAAAGACTTTGGCTCACAATTTTCTAAAATGTAATGCGATATTATTGAAAATATTAAATAATCTCTTTTGTATATAAATATTAGCATGTTTTTAAATTTTTTCTTAAGAAGGTACTCCGGCTTTAGCAGTACTCAATAGTGAGGGACGCAGTTCATACTTATCAACTGCCACCACCACGCTTAAAAAGTACATATTTGAGAACGATTAGCACAGTGGAAAGTGATCAATGTTAGAAAAATTTCATTGGTCCCCCTACTAATTTGTAAATTGTACAATCACGTGGGGCCATGCCTGTCCTCAGGGAAGGCATTTTGATATGTTTCGCTCATTGTCTATGTTGCTTTTATGAAGAATCAGAATTGTAACCAAATTCTGCTTTTTAATTAGGTGATTTCATAAACTACTCTAAAAGAGAAAAACTACGCAAAATTAGTGCCTTACCGAAGAGAAGGTATCGCTACACCCAACTGTACCTTCATTTCAAATATTACGCGTCTGGTGCAAGCAGTTCTGTCGTTCGGAATTGAAAAGAATTTTGCTACTCATATTGATCATATTAGACTATTGAACTAAAGTTTACAACGTCAAACGGGAATTTATATTTAGAGAAAACAAAAAAATACAAAAAGCATACTTGATTAGAAATAAACGGCTTTGTTTGTACATTAACTGTTGTGTAATTTAGTAAAAATTTGCATGTATTTGATTTTGTCTAATTTATATTACACTTTCACTCTGTCTTAAGGCTCACAGCTCATACGAATTCTTTCTGACATTTTAGGACTGGATAATATAAGGATTAAAATTAAATACAATCTTTTTTCCTGAAAATAGGAACTCTAACTGTCGGAGACTTGGTTATGGTGAATGGTTTGCTATTTCAACTTTCGATTCCACTAGGATTTTTGGGTTCGGTGTATCGAGAAGTAAGACAAGCTTTCATTGACATGAAGTCTATGTTCCATTTAATGACATTGGATCCTATTATAAAGGTACTTGAAGTTTAAAGCTTTAAAACAATTTAAAATTATTTACCTAAAGCATTCTCTAAACATCTAAAATTAAAAAATACATTTTACAGAATAAGGCTTCAGTAGTTCCTTTTAATATTAGCCCTAAGAACGCTGATATTGTCTTTGATAAAGTAAAGTATCAATATGTCCCAGGAAAAACGATATTTGATAATATGTCATTCACAATTCCTAGTGGAAAAAAGATTGCAATTGTTGGTGGTTCTGGAACAGGGTATGTCGTTTAATTTCTTCAATTTTGTTTTGTTTGCACAATAAAAAAGACAGTAGATCTTACTGTCTTACTTATACATTTTTCAAATTCTTTGATAGAGACGCAACTAAATCGTTAAAACGGATCATATTTTCAGGGTGTCTAACGAATTATAATTTTCAAATTCCCGGCAAAATCCCGGATTTCCCGGACCTTAAGCTAAATTATTCCCGGATTTATTTTTAAGACATTAATGACTATACTATTAAAATTTCATGATTTTTTAAATACAGTGGAAACTGAATTAACGAAACTAATTCAGGCAGGATCTGGTTCAGATGATAATCAAAAGTTCGGATAATAGAAATTGCAATTATTTTCGTTTATATTTGTGGATAAATGATTGTTTTGGAATTATTTTACAATATCAAATGGCATTTATGTCTTCTTTTAGATATTTACATTAAAATTCACTGAGGTTCAACTGCAATAAGTTTTTTTAGAGATTATTAAGAAGGTGTCCATCTTAGGGGCACTGTTTTTACATAAAAAATTTTGACAATTTAAAAAAATATTTTACAAAATTTGTGTGTTGAAAATAAAAAAATTTGTCTGTGAACAAAAGATACCCAATGTATTGTACTTTCTTTCTTATTTTCTTTTTGTATTATACTTTCATTCTGTATATTCCAATTTAACATATCTTTTTGTGTTTGGATTCTAGAGCATTAAATTGAAACCATGTCCATCTTGAGGTCCTTTCCCCAAGATGGTATTAAAATTAAAGAATAGACTTTCCTCATTTTGACATTTAGTTATGCATATATGGCGATCATTTTACAATTTCCCTAATTTGACATGTCATTAAAAATAACATCAAGTTGGCAAAACTTTGCTATCAGAAACTAATCATATCAAAAAAGGAGTTATTTGTATGTTTTTTTAAATGGTATGAGAGGATTTAGTCCCATAACTCTAAAAGATGAACAATACAGGTTCATAAATATATCGAGTTCCATAAAAGTAAAGCGTTGAATTTTTTTAATTGAGGATATCATTGATGACCTCAATATTGGTAGTCTTCAAATCCCATTTATAAAGTTTAACTACATATGTTTTGTTTTAGTTCTACCAAAGAGTTGATAAAATAAACACAAAATTTTAGCTTTCACTTTTCGAAGTACATAAATCAATTTCAATAAAACTCAGTAAACTATGAATATATTTAAAAAGATAAATGTTTGTGCATTTATGTTTCAATCCGGTCGCTATTTTTATTTAGCATATCTAACCCTTATAATATTATTCGTTTTTCAGAAAGACTACAATAGTGAGATTACTGTATAGGTTTTTTGATCCAAATAGTGGGAACATTTATATTAATGGCAAAAACATTCAAGACATTGATGTGAACGAGCTTAGGCGATCTATTGCTATTGTGCCACAGGTAAATTAGAAATTGATATTTAATTAAATGGTTTAATCCATAAAAGCATAGGTTGAAATTGCTCAAAGAATTTTCTTGTTTTAGGCGTTAATGGGTTACATTTCCCGTCTCTTCCTCCATTTTTAAAATACAAGGGATTCGCCAAAATGGGCCCTTTTCCAAAAATGCTATTTTTAATTAATAAACCGGGTTATTTAAGAAGTTAATAGTTGGGTGTTACTTTATTGAGTTATTTAAAGAAAAGGAATAGAATTAGACTTATTAAAATTTTTTGCGTGTCTATTATGAATAATCTTAGGAAATATTAAAAACTTGATTTCGACAAAAGCGAAAACAAATTTATTTAGCGAAAAGAAAAATTAATTCGACTTTTAGAATTAAAAATAATAAAGATTTTTTGTCTGTATTATATGACTTATATTATTATCGACGGATGAGAGGGGAACTGTAGAAATAAACCTCTCCTGAGTACCAAACTGAATACTTTTAATTATATTTAATTTTCATGTACTACTTTACAGGATTCTGTTTTATTTCACGATACGATATTCTACAACATCCACTATGGGAATTTTTCAATGACTGAAGCTGATGTTTACGATGCAGCAAAAATGGCAAACTTACATGAAAGTATTTTAAAATGGCCTAAAGGATATCAGACGCAAGTGGGTGAGCGAGGTTTAAAATTGTCGGGTGGTGAAAAGCAACGAGTTGCAATTGCAAGAGCGATTTTAAAAAACAGTCCAATATTAATATTTGATGAAGCTACATCATCTCTGGATTCTATTACGGAACAGGTAATATATTTTTATATTTGTACGGCTTTTCTGAATAAGTTAAGATATTGGCAAAATATACTGCCCTACTTTGCAGTCACTGATAAACTTCGATGTGCCAGCGAGAATCACGCAAAATTATAAATTATTTTTGGTAGCGTTTCATAGATCCAACTAAGGATCCACGAAACATTTAACTTCTATTATGATACTCCAATCAATCACTTAAAAGTGTGTTTTATTTTTAATTAAATTATATACAAAGTAACATTTTTATGTACGGAATTAAACCAAAATATTAATTTGTCAATTAGTTCTATAAGTTAAAAAGTAAAGAAACGCTTAAATTTCATTTAAAACTCTTACAAAAATTCATAATTTACAATATCTTAATGACTTTATTTTTGCGGCGTGTTAAATATCCGAAAATATCACTCCAACTACAAGGAAAATAGCTAACAGACATGTCTTTTAAAAAATTTGTTACCACTCTATTAGTGTTATTCAATTTTGGGACCAAGGATCCTGTTCAGTGGATAAAATGCATTAGGAACGACTCCGATATCAAATATGTATAACAAAAAAAAGTTTTTTAGGGAATTAAGAATTATAAGATTTTGAGACAAGTGGAGGTAGATCCACTTTTCTTAAAATCCTTTCTTTGTCTTTGCGCGTGTGCGTCTTAAACTAACAAAAAACCGAACTTTTTAAACTTGATCGTTGAGACGCTACCAATATTAATACTTTTTCTGGTATTCTCCTCCGGTACTCAATTATCACTTTATTATTATATATTATTATTATTAAAACAAAAATTAAACAAAACAATTTATTAACAAAACTCAAAATCGAAATTAATTAACAAACTCTACGGTTTGACTCGTCAAATCGCGTCACGACTTCTTGGAGCTCCGCAAGTAAGCCGCGAAAACGACTGCAAACCGTTACTCGAAGGTTTTCAGGATCGCTGATTACGAATTTTATATCAGTTTTCGAAAATTCAAAATGACAGATGAAAATTTTAAAATTTCGCCGAATTCACATGAAACTTGTTACTTGTAAGTTTTCGGGAACACTAATTAGAAATATAATAACTCTAGATTTTTAAAATCTTAATATTGGAGTAACAATAATTTATGTAATATTCAATATTACAATGCTAAAATGCTGCCGCGGTCAGGTGGGCCCCTAATTGTAAGTTTAAGTAGATCCGCCATTTAGAATTTTCAAAAACTTACATCAAATTTTAATTCATAATCATTGACCACGGAAATGTTCGAATCTCTCTGTGTATCTATATAATAAAAAAAGCTACATAAATAGTTTAAAACAATTATAGAATATCCTCGAAGCTTTACGCAGAGCTACTACTGGAAGGACGTCTATTGTTATTGCACATCGTCTGTCTACAGTTATGGATGCAGATGAAATCTTTGTTGTAAACAATGGTGTTCTTATGGAACGAGGGGAACACGCAGATCTTCTCAAGAATAATTCTTATTACAATAAATTGTGGACGACTCAAAATATTGGAGAGAAAAAACAAATGTAAATATATAAAATGTTAAACACTGATTAATCAGAGCAAATAATTTAACAAATTAACTACGCAATTAAATGTTATTATTAATATATTGTTTCATCATACTTAACTATTTCATTTATTATGTTGTAATGAAGAAATTTTGAATGTTTTAATTAATTTAAAAGAAGAAACTAATAAAAATAGTTGTTTTTTAGAAATATGTATAAATCAATCCTATAGGTATCATATGTAAATAGTAAATATTTTCCTTAATACTAGAACAAATCTTCAGCATTCAAATCTAACCGACAGAATGTTAGGAAAGTAATCACAATAAATACATAAAATTTAATTTATTTATTAAAATTTCTTTACACACTGTATAGTAGAATAATTTATGACAATAAACAATTTAACATTACACAAGTAACGAAGAATTAACGGACGATTTGAACATTTTTGTAAAAAACATAAGGCCTGTAACGCCTCCTGGAATGTGACTAAATGCGAATGATACCATCGCAATCAGTTGAAAAATCGCGCACAAAACAGTTAAAGGAGTCGATTGTAAATGCAGAGAAAAATACAGTGTGCCAAATAACGATGCAAAATAAGATATACTAAAACATCTTCTTTCTGGTGTGGAAAGCGACTTCATATAGTTCATTGGGCCCCATAAAAAGCAAAAACTGCAACACATATTTTGGTTAATAAATACAATAATATTAAAGTATATATAGACATTTTTAAGGTACAAAAGTGACTGCCATTAACAATTTGTTTTATTTTATATTCCTTTAGTCAATCTATGTAGAAGCAAACCCACAAATTTTAATTAAAAATAAGCTATATCATATAAAAAGATTCCAGAATAAAATTGATTTCAACTAATAATTAATTGTTGTTAACTATAATTTACGTACACTACCGTCCATAATTGAGTGGACGCCCCTTTTTTCATTATAGTGTAAAAAGCGTTAAACGTAGAAAAGAAAAAGAATACAAATTTTCTCTATTTTTTCCTAAAAGCTAATAAAATAAATTAATATCATCTAATAGATACAAAAAATAGTAATTTTGCATTCTTTTCTTAAGATCAGAAAATTTCTTAAAATTAATAGTTTTAAGATATCAAAAGTGGTTGAGTAAAATATATAAATTTTATAGATACCTATACATGAAATATTCAAGAAAAATATTTAATATTGTATTTATTTGATTTTTAAAAATTATTTTTTGTTGCAAAAGTATGTTTTAATTTTCCGAAATTTTCTGATCCAAGTTTCACGACTTACACCATAGAAGAATCAACCGGCGCTAATTTGCGCTAATTGGAGCCAAATAGACAAATATGCTTGATAATTATACTTGTCTTCGTCTATTTCCCTAACAAAATCCGTCAGTCAGCAAACTTGCTAGGCCTAAAAAGCCTAAATCGTTTTAGACCAATAGAGAATATAAAGCTGCTTCTAACTCATATAAGATCTGAAAAAAATTTACACTTTCTCATTTATCATTTAAAAAACGGATATACTTAATATATTTAAATTGTTTAATACTTTTTTGACTTCTTATTCTTATTCCGTTTACTTCGAATGTTTAAATATACATATTAAAATAAGGTGTAGAATAAGATAATTAAAAATAAGAAAGTGAAATATTCTTCTAAGGTCTTAGATGCGTGGGAAGTTTTATATTATTATCTATTCGCCTGAAATGTTTTAGTCAAAGAGACAACTGCCTACATTAAAAAAATTTGGCGTTGCTGCCATCTCAGTGGTTGCAACGCTGCAAGGGATGAAAAATGGTGCGTGCGTGAGAGAGAGAGAGAGTAATGGGGTGAATGGGGAGAAATGAAAAAGGCTAGGTAATTGTCAAGAATATTTGTCTACTTGGCGCCAGTTAGCTAGTCGCCTAGGTGCAAAGCTAACCGGCTGACTCTTCTTTTTACCTACGACATAGGGTAGTTGCACCAGTGGTGGATCAACTGACAGAAAAATGTTCATTTATGCTTTTGCGTTTGTATTTAAATAAACTTTGAGTATCGGTAATTGTTAAGGGAGGTGTACGGTCAATAATTGCAATTTAAAAAATTTTTTAAGTTTAAAGCGTCATTAATTACTATTGTGGTGACAGGCAACAAGGGGTTTCCTTAGGAATTGTGTTAAATTTCTTATTATTTCATTTCTTTGTTATACACCTGTCTTAAACTTATCTAGCTATATACAAGTGTTTCTGCATAATATTCTTCTTTACAGTTTCTTACTATAAATTACCGCTTAAAATTTGTCTAAAAACAATCAATGAGTTGTCAAAGTAAGAAACTTGGGGCACTTAATTGATTCACCACTGGTGCAGTCACCCTTTGTATACATATCATGATCTACTTTAAATATTCTATTAAAAAACTGATGCCTTACCTTAGAATAAAAAAGAAGCTTCCTAGAGAATAACAAAGTGCAAATTTTCTCGCCTTAAGTAGCAGTACAGGTATATAGATAGCAGACAAAATAAAACAAATTATTCCCGTAAAAAAGCAGAAAGCGAATGCTGTGAGTCGTTGGAATCTGGTCTAAAATGTAAGAAAAAATCTTTCATTAGTCACTTGAAATTGAGAATATAAAAAAATTAGGGGGGCCCGTGGCGTAGTGGATCACTTTTCACTTGAACATTTTGGGACTAAATAAAAATGGAACTTTCAGAAAACCATAGGTACTAAAATATTTCAACTTTAATTTTAAAAAAGAAACGATTCATATTTTCTTCTCTATATAATCTTTTTTGAGCCAGTGCAAGGTGATCCAATACTTTTTTCATAAATCACATCTATAATAATATGTGCATAACATGTGGATAAAGCGATTTTAAGATATTTGACGTTCTGAGAAAGTTACAACACTGATAAGACAGGGCGCTATACAGTGTTCAGTGAAGTACTTAAACTTTCAAAAGTACAATGTGGTTAGGAATAGTCAATAATGAGACATAAATTAAACCTTCGAAAGAAGATATATTTTAACAAAAATAGAATAATAAAAAAGGTTGTACAAAAGTAATCATAATATATAAAAATTAAAAACGAAAGAAATAACGATTAAAATTAAACAACTAAGTGCTGTGCCAGTCCTAAGCCAAGGCTTGGCAAAAAATCTGTCTAGTAATTTAGTAATATTGCGAAAATATTACTTGTCAATATTTCGACAATAATAAAACAGCATTACCTAGTAATTTTACGGGGAAGCCTACAACTTTTTTTTAAACTGTCCTCAATAACTGATGTATGCATGTCTTTTCCATTATGTTTTTACTCCTTGAGTCAACATTCTAAAACATAAATTAAAATATTTACATATTAAGAAAGAAAAGAACAGCATTGTTATGAATTTAATGTTTTACGTACTGTTTTCTTTTTTCTCTATTATTGCATTGGGCAACCCATCCCTCACGTTAGGAAATTTTCTTAATATTAACAGTTCTGCTCACTTTAGTCATGGCCTCTAAAAAAAGAATTTATTAAGTTTCTTTCTTATATTTAATAGTACATAAAATATTTATACCTTCATTGATTTCTATTGTCTCCGTAAAGTCTGCCTGTGCTTATCATAAGACCATTGTTGGAGTGGACAATCAGACATTGTACAAATTTTAGAGGAAACTAATGTAGGTAACTTTTGCTCATTTCATAACAATTAAAACCTTCGTAAATCGAAAATTTACATTTATATAAATACAATAAATGCACGTCTGGCAGTATAGTGGAGTGGGGCAAAGCACGGCTGGCAAAGGGTTAGACACGTAAAAAATCGAAAAAGTTATCTCATTTCATATATGTACATATTTAAGCGCTTAAGTGAAATAAATTTGTAACATTTCTAATAATCGGTTTTGTCAATAAAAATATTCATTCACTATTGTAGGAAATATAGTTTATATAGTGGTCGCTAGTTCCAGGACTATAGGTTGGTTTAAGTTGAAATCCATTTAATTTTGTTTAATATCAATTGAATCCCTTTTACAACGTAAATATTGTTGATACTTTAATTCATTTTAATAAAAAGAAATTAAAGCTCTTAAAAATGACTTTAATTGAAACCAAACTTCAGAATAATTTTCATCCACATGAATTGAGCCGTTTGAAAAATATTATCCAAAATTGTATTGGTGGTAACTTAAGGCGAATACGGTTTGGCATGAAAACAGTATTAGGATAATTGCTCCTAAGCCGAACCATATTCACCGTAAGTTCCTGACAATAAAATTTTTCTCAGCTGAATACTTTTTCTTACTGGGTTTTTATATGGAATGTCCCAAATGTTAAATATGAAAATTTAAATTATATGTTTAGCGCTAAGAATGACTGAACATTTGAAATAAATGATCGTCAAATATTTGGCAAAAGTATTTGTAAAAAATATAAAAATAAACTCAAATATTTTTCATAGAAATCAATAAATATTTAAATATACATTGATAATGAGACCTTCTCAACTCTTTGATCTCAGCATCTTGCTATGATGACTTGAAAAAACTTGTTAATTTAAGATACACAGTCACAATGAAATTTTGTTCAGATGTAAAGGTATAACCACATTTGCTATATGCCTTTGTGACCAGAACAAATTTTCAAGCATCACATTAAAAAAATGACTGGTATTTTTTTTTTTTTTTTTTGCTATCCGCGCAGCGGATGAATTCTTTGATCCAGGTCTTATCTGTCAGCACGTAATATACTTCTTTTATCCTCCATTGAAAAGTATATGTACTTTGAAATGTTGAGACATAAAACAAATTACTATAGGTGTGCAAAAAGCTCGATCGAGTATTTCAAGCTTTTCGATTTTCTAGCAGAGCTGAGCAGAATCAATCCAAACTTGAACCAAATTCCATCCGACACATGCAGTATAAAAGCTAAAATAATTTTGAGCACTTGAATTTTTGGAGCACTCAAATATTTTAGAGTAACTAAAAAATTTATAATGCTCGAGTATCGAGCCCGGCTCGAGCTCGACCATGCTATTCGAGCTTTTTGCACACCTCTACAAATTACCAAAGATTTAACTTGATGCCACACTTAACTTTAAGTCTCATCATTTTTTTCTTCTAAATTTGAACAATGATTGATCATCTGCTCGAAACTGGTCTCTTAGTATTTGCACTGGTAAACAGAACATATAAATATATAAATATTCTGAGACTTACTGATGAATTTTAGCTTAACAGCTGATTAAAAAAATTTTTCTTTTGTATTGAGATTCGAATAACTTTAAATATCACAATAATTTAATAAAATGATATGTTCTAAAAGACATCGATTTTTCTAAATTAGTTTTGTTTCATTTGGAATTTTACTTTCCAATTAAGAAAAGTGGGGTGTATTTTGTTATATATGCCCGATTCGCTTCCCACGTTAACTGCATCAGAATGCTTAAAAACACAAACGTAGTATTAAATAATAAGGGGGAATTAAAGTGGGTTGACACTTTTATGCCCTTAAACTCCAAACCAATTCCGTTTTTGTCTGCAATCTTAATGAATTCCTTTTCTATTGTTAAGTTGTTCATTTCTATCCAACTGAATTCTCCATAACCATGTGACCAGAATCTTAACTTTTTGGGAAGTTTGTCTATCGAAAACGGTTAACGGTAACGCTACGCACCCAGTGGCGGGCGATCAGACTTTCCATGCAGTGAGAAGCGAAATATTGTGATTGTGACAGTGGGAAGACAGACTTCTCAAAGGTTTTTCCGTGTTGAATTCTTTAAAGGGCATTAAAGGGGATTCAAATTCTGTTCATGTGGTTACAGAGAATTGAATTGGATAGAGATGAACAACTTAACAATAGAAAAGGAATTCATTAAGATTGCGGCCAAAAAGGGAATTGGTTTGAAATTTAAGGGAATAAAAATGCCAATCCACTTTAATTCACCCCTTATTACTGGATTCTGTGTCTTCACGTTTTGGGTCAGTGGAGCAAAACAACATCAGTCAATGTCATGTCAGCAATGTCGGATCCGAGATTCAAGAAATTGCATTTTAACAATACACAGAAGTCGACAATTAGTACAAATTAAAAGTAATTGCACAAACATCACACAAACACTTGGCACATGTTATTAAACCAACAGTATTTGCATTCGAACGATGCGATATTGAATATGCCGTTTATTGCGACAAATAAATATGTCATTGATTCGATAGCATTTTTTTCTCAGTGTATAAAAGCCTCGTAAAGAAATTATTCTCATCATAAAGAAAATGTAAAAAAATTATATTATACAAATAATTAAATTTTGTAAAAATTGCAATAATTGTAATTTTTAGATAAAATGAAATTTCAAGATTTGAAATTGTATATGTATTTAGTTTTATATTTGTAATTAAAATTCTTTAAAATTGAATATTTTTAAATATTTTCCAAAAATTATTTTTAATTACTTTATCTCAGATATTTGGAAATTTTTTCAATTATACAAGAAATAAATCAAAAATACTATTAATATAGATTTATATCAAATATAAAAAAAATTAATCAAAATTTAATAGTATTACATGATTTCTTTCAAAGTTTTTTATTTCATATATAAAAATTCCTCTTTGTCGTATTTTCTCCGCAAATTGTAAAACACATCTTTCAAACACTTTTGTTATTATATTTATAAATATTTTTAATAATTTATCTTAATAACTTTAAAAACACAAAGAATTAGTTCAGAAAAGTTGAAATATACATTACCTGTCGATTTCACGTAAATAACTTGTGATTGACAGGCCAAATAATTTATCAGTCATTATTTAGCCCGCTTTAATATTTTAAATAATACACTTGGCACTTTTTCTTAAATTTAAAAGTGACAGATGGATTTGTGGGGCCTTTAAAATATTTAATTTATGTGTATCCCCATTCTTTGAAGAATAAATCTATCAGCTTTTGAAAACTTGCTCTTCAAGTGCGCTACATGCTCTTCTCTACGATCCGTAAATATAGATCATCAATATAGACGAAATAACAACAAAACGTTTTTTATTACTATTTTGTCTTTATTGTTGTACCTATTTAGGTAAATATAATTACTTAAAAGCAAAACTTCTTTAGCCTTTTAGTGATTTGTTAGAACCGTGTTACATTTTTCAACATATTTTTTATTGTAACTTTAGAAATATTCTAGAAAATGAGTTGTTTGAAAGTCACACGTATTAAACTTTTAGGTTATCACATAACTAACCAAAGTAGGACAGCAAGCAGTTTTAACACTCTCTTCTTCCACCTCCTTCCTAAACCATTTTCCTAACTGTGGTTTAGGTATTTTCACTGAAGGAATTGATATTTTGAATTGTTTCTCATTTTTATTATTTAGAAGATATTCATTTAACTCTTGATTAAGATTAGACATTTTGACACCTTAGCAACGTTGCCATGGTAATGGTCCTTAAACGTGTCTTTCGACAGTCCAACGTTTAGATTGAGTCCACAATAGCACATTGGACGGAACGTAATTTACGTTCCGTTCAAGTTGCTATTGTGGACTCAACCTCACGCCGACGGACTGGCCCTTGACGCAGACATTTAGAAACTATTGAAGAAAGGCCATAATATCTCTATCCTTTTCCAACCCATACCTTGCGTTCGCGAACGACTTTCGCAAAGCTATTGTGTATTGAACTTAAACTTTTTCTAATTTTATATTCTATTTTTTGCAATAATAAAAATCAATTTTTTTTAATTATTTTATTTTTGCAAAGAATAGTTCCTAAAAAATGAAACACATGAAATCTTAACAAACTTAGGTGTAAAAATTTAATTTAATCGAAATTCTGTCCCTTACATTTTCTTGATATCTATTATCTTGAATTTCCCCCACCCAACTCGAATAACCTTATAAACGCACGTGGTGTCTAATGTATACTGTAACAAAACAAATAAATTTTAAAAACCTGGAATCATTTTTGCACAAAAATAAAAATGAGCAATAATTGTGACTTTCAACAAGATAATGCGAAATATTTTAAGAGTTATGAAGATTTTGATGTAAGTATATTTGTGACAATAATTTCTTCATAAATAACTTAATTTTTGAAGAACTATCATAAAATTATTACTTAGAAATTATTTAATGAATAATTTTACTTAAATATTTCAAAATTAATTGAATTATAAAAGAGTTGCGTTTAAAATTCACATAAATAAATAAATAAATTTCAAATGGTTTCAATTTGAAATTTTATAATGTTTTAAGTTTTGAATGAATTTAATTAGAAATTTGAAAGAAATTACGTAGATTTTTTTAAAATTTCAATAATTCAAATTCTTATAAAATTAGTTAAATTTCTTAATATATATTTAATTAATTACTAAAAATAAATGAGTTTGTGCGAAGAATTTGAGTTAAAACCATAAAAAATTGAATTTTTGAGAAATTATAAAAGATTTCATAAATTCAATTATTTTCAAAAGTAATAAACTTCTTCGCAGAAATTCTATTATTATATGTTCAAAATTTCTTTTTAACATTTTCGTCAATATTTCAATTATTTTTATAAATAATAAAATTCATCTCCAAAATTCAATTATTTTCAAAAATTTTCCTCAATTCAATGATTTATAATAACTACTTTTTTATTAAAATTTTCCAAAAAGAATTGAATTATTTGAAAAAAATAATTCATAAGGTTTACCATAGAAAACAATAGTTGAATTTATATTTACTTTTGTCACTTAAAAATTTCGAATTATTTATACTTGTTTTATGAATTCTTTTTTTACAGGTTCATCAGTTAATGCTAAATGATAAATCTCGAATACATTCATATAAGAATGCAATTTTTGCTAGTAAAGATAAATTTAAAGATAAGACTGTTATGGATGTTGGTGCAGGAACAGGTACGTTGCAGGAATCAAAAACTTCCGTTTTCTAAAAAATAAGTAAAAATCGAAAAATAGACCTTTGAGTTGAAATTACAAAAAAAAATTAACGGAATGGAGTTCTCTTTATAATTTAATAATTTAATAATTTAATATAGAAAGTAAGAAAAATTTTGTAATTTCAGGCATATTATCAGTGTTTTGTGCCCAAGCTGGTGCAAAAACAGTTTATGCAATAGAAGCTAGTCAACTTGCTAAAATTGCTAAAGAAGTTGTTATTGAAAATGATTTTAGTGATGTTATTGAAGTAATTGAAAGTTGTATTGAAGATGTTGAATTAAATTCAATTGACAAAGTAGATATTATTGTATCTGAATGGATGGGTTTTTATTTAATACACGAAGGAATGCTTGATTCTGTTATTTTTGCCAGAGATCATTTTCTTAAGGAAAATGGACTTTTATTTCCAAGTATTGCTAAATTGTATGCAGCACCTTGTGAATTGCCATCATTTTTTGATTTTTGGGACGATATTTGTGGTGTTAAAATGAGGTAAGTTTGTTTTTAATTAATACTCATAATAGTACTTTCTAATACATTTTAGCTTTTGTCTTTACATTGCTTGAAACTTCTTCTCAAATTTATGAAAATTATAACTTAAGCAGGTCAGGAAAAAGTCAGGGTTTTTTATTAAAAGTACTGGAAAAAATTAAATGTTTAGAATTTATAAGAAAATTCTGAATTTTTGTATCTGTTTTGTTTGCCTCATAAACTATGAAATTACCACGAATACTAAAAAAACCCTTCAATTTTTTATATTTCTGATAATAATTTATTTTAAATAACTTAATTTTACTGAAGAATTGCCATAAAGTTATTAATTATAAAATTTATACAAAAAACTTTAATTTCAATTCTGTTGAAATTAGTTTCAATTTTAAAAATTTTAATGCGCAATTATTTGAAAAAATTTAACTATCTTAATAAAGATTAAAATTCTTTCTAGAAATTCAATTATTTTCAAAAATTGAAAAAAAATTCTCGTCAAATTTTCGAGTACCCGAATTCACTCAAGTACTCGAAATTTTCGAGTACCCGAAATTATTCGAGCTTTTTATAAAACTCGGCTCGGCTCGAAAATACCCGATCGAGCTTCGAGCATTTTGCACACCTCTATTATTTTTATAAATAATAAAACGCATTACAGAATTTTAATTATTTTTAATAAAATTTTAATCGAATTGCTTGAAAAATGTAATTATTCTCAAAAATGTTATTAAAATTCGTTGAAAGAATTCAATTAATTAAAAATTTATTGATAGAATTATGTATAAGAATTCAAATTTTAATAATCATTTATTTATTCAATTAATTTTTTATGCTTGTTTTTAAATAACTCAATTCTCATAGAATTGTCCAAAAAAAATTGATTTAGAAATGAATTTTATTTAAAATTTAGTTAATAATTGAATTTTGAAGAAGTTACTAATAATTGCAATTTTTAGAAATCATTGAATTTTGTAAAAGTTTCAAATTAAAAGAACTTTATCATAAATTATTAAAAATAATTGATTTAAAGAAGAATTTTATTTAAAAATTTTAGAAAATAATAATTGAATTGATTCGATGAAACTAATTTTAAAGAATAAGTTACAGTAACAATAGTTTTAAATATAATATAAAATAATTATTTTATCACTTGGTTAACTTTAATTATTATAAAACATGAAGAAATGAATGACTCCGAGTCGAAGGCTCGGAGTGGTTCATGGTTATTGAATTTCAAATCTTTTTTCCTATAAAAAAATAATAATGATTAAAAAGAGAGTTAAGTTATTGATATTTTCGAATAATTTTACAATATTAAAGAAATTCACAAAAAAATGTATCGGAAAATTTTTTTGTTGAATTATTTTTAATGCGAATCAGAATATTCTTTAGGGTCAGGAAAAAAGTTAAAATTTTGTCTGAAAATCAGAGAAAAGAAAATTAAATTTTTGTGGCAAGTTCTAAGCAATTTATAGACGAAAGTCTGGTTTTATTTACAAACATATTTTAAAATGAAGAAACGTTTAATTAAAGATATAACATTGTAGGTGCGTTGGGATAGAACATAGACGAGTAAAATCGTTAAAACCAGAAGTATCAATTGTAGAGAATCAACATCTGTTAAGCTACGGCAATCTTTTAATGTGGTTAAATTTATATGACGTTACAGTTGAAGACCTTAACTTATTGTCAGGAGATAATACTGTCGCAATTTGTAAAAAGGACGGAAAGTGTCAAGGTATTTGTATATGGTTCGTAGTGGAATTTCCAGATGGTTCTGAATTATCTACTTCACCGTCATGTGAACCAACTCATTGGAAACAATCGGTTATAGTTTTACCAAATGAAATCGAACTATGTGAAAGTGATCCATTGGCATTTAAATTAACTTTAAATAGAAGCAAATCGAATTCTAGATTTTACAATATGGAGTTGACTATGTTGGAAGCTGACGAAGTAGAACATGAAATACCCTGTTCTTGTAATATGACTAAGTGTGTTATTATGCGCACTTACATAGAAGAGCAAGAATCAAATGCTAAAAATTTATCTGAAAATGTTTAGCAGCAAAACTAAATTTTTATCACTTTTTTCTATAAATAAGTATATATTTTTGCGTATTTTAAAATAAAAGATATATATTTCGATTAAAAATAGAAAAAATAATATTTTTTTAAATTTGTTTAAGTTTAATTTTGTATATAAATATATGAAAATCCAAATAAAAAAGGTATTTTAAAACTGTTTCGTCAAAAACAAAAATTAAAATTCTCGAATAAAATTAAAAAATTTTTTTTGTCCGCCATTTTTAATTTTGAAAAAGTTTCATTTAAAAAACTAACATTAGTTGTATTATTAGCGACCCCAAAAAGCCCCGAGTAATAATTTTCATGAGCGTAATTGAAGTTTTAAATTTATTTGTCCGCCATAATAATAATAATGATTGAAATAAATATGTAGTAGAAAAAATATTCATAAGTATGTAGCACAAAATTTAAAAATTCACAGAAATGATTTTTATATTATTTATTTATAAGCTGAGTAGTACACATAATATTTGATTTTCACATTTAAAAAAATTTCTTTACAAAACAACAAACATTACTTTAAAAATAATTTTTTTTTTTGACTATACAGTCGCTTACAATTAACATTATTTTTCATTAATATAAAAATGAATAAGAGAGCAATGGCTTTGAAGCTGGTGTTAATCATGCTCTTAAAAAATTGTTTACGAACTTTGCGTCTACATGTAAAATATGTGACAGAGAGAGGGCCTTACCTTTATTTATTAATGAAATCATGAATATGATAATTACTAATTCTATTACATGACTGTGACTAACTTATACATATTACTGTAAGTAGATAAGTCTTGCATGCATAAGGAAAAAAAAAGTTTTTAAATTCATTAGTAAAATTTTGGAATTTAATAAAATTTTCTTTAAAATAACAAAATTTAATAACACTATTTATATTATTGTAATTTGCAAGTAAGTTTTCTATTAGCATCTACATTTTTAGGATGAGGTAGGTAACATAAAATTCTGAGTATAGTCGTATTCAATTGTAGGAATAACAGATTGGACAAATTTAAGAAATATTATTAAATACATGTGGACGCCAAGTTCCCTTCCTCCTTCCATTACTGTTTCTATAATTTTCTTCATCACTTCTGCATGCCTGAAACAATACAAATATTTATGTAATTCACACTTTAATTATTTTTAATAGGAGTTCAAAAAAATACAAAAAATTAACATGAATAATAAAACGAGAAAAGCGTCGATGATACGAACATAAAATCAGATTTCCAATAATTATTATTAGGAATTTAGAGCAAAAACAAGTTGTTCATTTCATGACCATTTAGCTTCCTCAATATAATAAACAAATTTCTTCTTAAAAAAACAATAAAAAAAATCCATGACATGAATATAATTTTCAAACTGTTTCATCTAATTGGTGAAATTAAAACTTTATAACTTTTGTTAAAAATAAAAATAACGATTAATTTTATAAATATTGATAAAATATATACTTTATAAACATCAGTCGATTCGTTTTTTTTTCAGAAATATAAATTTCACACGAATCAATTAAAATTTCAATGAAGAAAAAAGTTATTTGAAAAAATACAAAAATCAATTTTTTTAAAAATTGATGAAAAAATTTTTTTGAGATATTTTAGAAAATCCTAGAAAATTAAAAAAAATTATGATTAACAAATAAATTTTGTTTTTATATGCTTTTTTATAACAAATTTCGTTTGACTGAAATTTCTTTCCTTTTTATTTATTAAAAATATTAGAAAATTGTTAATTGTTAAAAATTATGATTAAGAAATACCTATTTTTTAAATGTTTTTAACTAAAATTTTTCTATAAATCCATTATTTTTAATAATTAATTAATTATAAATTGACAAAAAAATTAACTAATTTCAAGAAAAATTTGAATTATTAACATTTTGCAAAAATCTAAGTTTTTAAAAATTTCTAATTAAATTCATTAAAAATTGAAATTTTATAAAATTTCAAATTAAAACCTTTTTGAAGTTCATGTATTTATGAATATTATAACGCAACTCTTTTAAAATTGAATTAATTTTTGAATATTTAAGTAAAATTTTCATTAAATAATTTCTAAGTAATAATTTTATGATAGTTGTTCAACAATTAGTTATTTGGAATAAAAGTTATTTAAAATGAAATTATTGTCAGAAATAGGAAAAATTGATGGTTTTGTATTAGAATCCGTGGTGATTTCATAGTTTATGAGGCAAACAAAAAAGACACCAAAATTCAGAATTTTCTAATGAATAATTCTAAAACTTTTTTTTTTCCAGTACTTTTAATAAAAATATCTGACTTTTTCCTGAATCCTTTGTCTCAGAATATGATTATTTTGGTTATAACAGTAATAATCTATATTCCAATTCATATTTTATATTTATGAAAAAAAATTTGAATTAAAAATTTTTAAATTCAATTTTTTAATATACATTTTTTACATAGTTTTTAAAAAAGTATGTAAGAAGTTAGCCGCGCGAATTGTTGCTAGTTATATTCATAAAAATGTATATAAATGTATATAAATAAATGCAAACCTGCAAGGATGTACAGATGCCATAGGTGGTCCTGGAATGTGTGGATGAATTTCCATTGTAACAGTTTTTCTTGCGTGGTCTTGACTCACATCTTCGTACATTTGTTCTACACTGAGCGGTTTTCGATTCTAAAAGCATATTATAACTAAGAAGCATAAACTACTAACAAAATTATGAGTCAAATATTTCAAAATATTGTTGACTTTGTTAAATAAATACATTCGGTTGAATCTCCCTACTTTGTACATTAATGTACAAATCAAATTTAAATTTCAAATATTTGAAATGATGTCGATGGGAGGAAGCAATAATTATAATATAAAATATAAATAAAAAATGATAGTACCTCATCGTAACCAAATAACCACAGCCTAGGAGTTTGATAATATTTATCGTAGGTGATGTGCAAGTCGTAAGTTCTGGTATGTATAATTTCCCCTTCCGGAAAAGAATCTCTGACCTCTCTTGTGGATTTTTCAACTCCTTCAGTGTACTGTAAATAATTCATAAAATTAACCATTACTAACTGTAAAATAAACTTCAACCTCAAGATGAACATCTCGTATAAAATATTTCTAAAGGGTTTGTTTTTGAACCATTTGTTTTGAAACCGTACAAACATTTACAGTTTACATTATGGACATATTTTTTAATTATTTAAGGAGAAAAGATTTGTTTTTTTATTTTACAGTCATTACTTTTGAAAAAGTAAAAGCATACGTAATCATCATAAACATTTCACAGAAAGAAATGCCAATTAGAATTTACCTTATCTTGATCATCAAGCATTCCACTAACTTCGAATGCTTCCATATCGGCTGCTTCTTCATCATCTTCATCAGTGTCAAGATCAATTCTTGAAGAAGAAGGTTGCGGTGTTTCTTCTAATGCCATATCCGTAACCTTTTCATCAATTCCTCCAAGACTTGGATCATAGTGATGAGTATCCACCCAACCTCCTTCCAGATCATCAATTTCTATAATTTGTTCCAATTCATCACAGTACTCAATCTGCATTAATAAAATATAATTGTATTTTTTAAAAATTAAAACAATCAATTAAAGTCAATTTAATATCTATTCATGCTTACTAAAGTAGTAACAAATATTTCATGCGAGGCTATACTATCCGGCGGATGTTTGTGTAATTCTCAGCATTTTATTTTTGAAGAGGATATAAATTACTTACCTGTTTACATCGACGACTGCAGGGTACATTACGAGTAAGTAAAAATTGCTTATCCTTTGGTAAATATGATTTAGTTCTATCTACATCACCTACAGCCCATTGCCAGGTTGGACAGTGATGAACAAGATGTTCTCCTGCAGCGACAAACTCTTCCGGCGTTAAAACTCCAGTTTCTTTGAACTTGCTTTCCTGTTTTGGAATAGAAACAAATGTTTTTGTTAGCCCGAGTTAACCATGACAGAGTTAGGTTTCTGGTCAGAGGCTAGCTTTAAGCGGGGCTCCCCTGACATAACACAGCTAGCGCCCAGATTCCATTTCCTCACAGGCGACTTTTCACCAAATTTTGATAAAATCTGATAGGTTTCGGGTGGATCTACTACAACTTGAAAATTAAAATAAAATTCTTAATTCTTCAGGATTGTGTAGGACTCTCAGTCCCCCCTAAAACTCAGGTGATTTTTAAATGATTAGACCCTTTAATATTGTTTCCCTGATAATTTCAAACATTTTTGTTTTGTTATTAAAAAAAATTATTTATTTAATTAAAATTCAATCCTGTATTATTATTATTATTATTATTATTATTATTATTATTATTATTTACATTATTACAACCATTGTACACTCGATTCTTTATGTTTGTTGGTATTGTAAATTATACAAAATAATGCAATATTATAAATAAAAATCCTAACTGGTCGATTTGTCCCTTGGAGGTGGCCGGTTAACCCCAGAGGTTGGGGCAAACTATGGACAGTTTGCAACATTTTTTAAAATTAACACAGCAACTAATTAATAAAAGATGAAGTATAGCCACCGAAAAATGAAATCGCGGTTGATTCATTTAGTCACAAGAGTAAAAAAATCGTTAGTATGGTTGGTTTGCTGCACTCTCCCCTATATGATAAAAAATTTGAATTATATACGCAAGTTTTATAAACAAATAAATTTTTGTAGGTTTTAACTATTTTTTCTTGAAAATTCATATTTTTGTTATAATAAGAATTATAAGAAATAAAATTTTCATCAATTTAAAATTATGTAAAATAATAATTCGAGGATTAAGTTTAAATTTCCGATAAATGATAATTATGTATAATAATGGATAAGAAACGACAATCAGGATAAATTCACACAGCTGTGATTAGACATTGACAATGTCGCTCTACTCAATATTGTCAATTTACATAGCTTCGCGTATTTCTAACCTCAAAATGTTACCGTTCTGTGTATAATAAAAAATGATTTCAATTTTTTTATCGAAGTTCTTCACAGAATTGTTTTTTTAATATTTTAATTTTCAAATGAAATCACCCTAATTTAGAGTGCAAATTTTTATTTGATATATTCAGTGAAATACGTAAATAGATATAAAACAATTTTTTCATAGATATTAACTGTAAAGTTTTCATTAATATTATTTAACTGTATAAGTATATAAAAAAGAAAGAATTTCAAACCTTTAATATTGGAGTTAAATATTCTGCAACACCAAGAGCAGTTCCTTTAACTGAATTTATGACACTTTGCATGGTAAATGGTTGCTTTTACGATTCTGAAGTGGGTGAAAACTACAAAAATGAGGCTTATTTACTTCAACTAATAATCTTGTTTGAAAATCGTAAAAATAAAATATTCAACATTTCAATGTTCAATATTTAAGAAATATATTGGTCACAGGTTTATTGTTATTTAGACATATTCTGATATCATCATCCCGCCGTTCCGTGCATGTGCCTTATTCTGCTTTGGCCTTAGGTTGAGTCCACAAAACTATTGTGTACTATTGTGAGCTCACCTTTAGGTTGAGTTCACAATAGCACTTTGAACGGGTTGCATACATTTGTATCAGAATGAAAAGAGCAGAATGACTATTATGTCGAATTCACAAAGGTAGAATCTGTAACTTTACGAATTTGTTTTTATCGAATACAAAATTTAAGAAAATTATTTTCACGAATTAACATTGACATAATTTTTATTTTCATAATTTATAATTCATAATTCGTGAAAATAATTTTCTTAAATTTTGTATTCGATAAAAACAAATTCGTAAAGTTACAGATTCTACCTTTGTGAATTCGACATAATAGTCATTCTGCTCTTTTCATTCTGATACAAATGTATGCAACCCCTTTGAACAGCCAAAGCGGCCAAAGCCATAGAGATATTATAAATAGAGTGGGGAAGGTATAGGCGGCAGCGTGTGGGGGAAGTGTCCTGCCATAAACAGAATGGGTTGGAGGGAGAAAGAAGATTTAACACCAGTATCTGTCCTTCAAAGAGCTCCAGCGCAAGAGAGACACCTACTGGTGTTAAGTCTTCTTTCTCTTTCTATCAAGCGGACGCATACATGCAAACCATCCCCACTCTATTTATACTATCTCTATGGCCAAAGCAGAATAAAACAGTAACGTGTGTGAGTGCACCATTAGATCTTGATATAAGAAACATATTGTGGAGACAACCTTATGTTTATTATGAAAACGATGTTTGTACTAAAGTAAACAATTTTTAAATTTATTAAAAAAGATAACTAGGTATATTATTAAATAGATGAAAAAGCTAACGAAAACGACATTCTTAATTAATTTTCTTTCTTTATTTCCCGGACTTTTGACTAAATTCGTTATTTTTAATTCATCATCTGTCATTAACCGATAGTATGTTCTTCCACAAATTTTATATATTTTCCTTTAAAATGTCCTTTTTATCAACAGCACTTGTTTTAACACTTATGCTTTAGTTTTGAGACTCAAAAAATGTATTTTTTATTTTTTGAAAAAGTTATTTAAAAAAAGCCAAAAATAAATTTTATTGGTATATCTACACACATTTTTGCATCGTCGAAATTGCACATTTAAATTAGGAATTTAAATTACACTTTAATCTTAATCGCATACATATAATTATATGTTTGTTTGCCTTATTGCTAACATATATATTAAAAGACAACAATCATTGCAGGATTGGTTGAAATATGGGAGTTTTAGGATTGTGGCGATTGTTGGATCCAGCAGGTAAACCAACAGCAGTTGAAACATTAGAAGGAAAAGTTCTAGCAATAGGTAATTATATTATATTATATGTGTCTATAATACTTCAGATTACATGGAATATTATTAAATTTTAATGGCTAATAATAATAAATTTTAAGAGATTGAGACAGTTAATTTGGTCAAGCATATAATTTTTATTGTTAAAATATAGTGAAGCTGAAACTGGCCCACAGTTATCAGCAAGCAATGTCTCGGAGTCATTTACATTGAGCTTTTTGCAATGTAGGATTATATGGTTATAATTGTCTAAATATTATATTAATGCTTTCAGATGTTTCAATATGGATACATCAAGTTTTGCAAGGTTATAAGGATGGAAAAGGCGATTCTGTGCAGAATGCCCATCTCCTTGGACTTTTCAATAGAATATGCAAACTTTTATACTTCAAAATAAAACCTGTCTTTGTATTCGACGGGGGCGTTCCAGTTCTCAAAAAGAATACAATTGTAAGATTTTACTTATAATAATATTAACTAATAGTACACCGCCTTTATTTTATATATTTTTGGTTGACACTGTCCTGAATGCTAGTCCTTCGTGATATTGCAATAATATATTATTTTTGAAGTTAAAGTATACAGTTAATTAAATTAAATTTAATAAAATATACAATATCAGCTTTTTATTAGAACATTAAAAGAAAGAGTAGTGCAAAATAAATAAACCCTAAAAATTATAATTTGAGAAATATTCCTATAATGGATTTGTTTATAATTTCAGGCTGCTCGCAGAAAACTAAAGTCAATTGCAGGCAATAAAGCAAAGAATTTACAGCAGAAATTGATGAGTAATTTGGTAAAACGTTTTGCTTTAAGTGATGCGTCTGATAAGAAAGCTGTACAAAAGCAAAGCACCTCGTCAGTAGAACCTGAAAGCACAGTTGCCATTCCCTTTGAACTGAATCCTTTATACACGGAAACTGCACAACCAAGTACCAGTAAAATTGAACTAAACGATTATGATTTTGACAGTGAATCTGACTTTGATTCTTCTGAAGAGTCTAGTCCTACAAAACAATCTAAATGGATCGGAAATATCCATAGTGTGAATATTGATACGGAGGAATTTAAAAGTCTACCCGCAGATGTGAGATACGATATTCTTACTGATTTAAAGGACACAAGGAAACAAAACTCTTGGGGTCGCATTCACGAAATGCCACCAGTAAGTTTTATTTGTAACTACTATCAAAAAATTATAATTCTTAACATTGAAAACTATTCTGTCCGTTAAATTTTTATACTCGGGGCTCGAACTAAAACAGACGGATGTCTGTTTAATTATAATAATCTCTAGTTTTATTGTTTCACAAATGATTTTCACTTCAGGTGTTGAATGATTTTTCGACTTACCAGATGAATCGTTTATTAAAACGTAGACACGTTCAAGAGTCTTTAGAGAAGGCAGAAAAGGAAATAGGAGGATCTAAAACTTTAACATTGGAAGAATTAGATAAACTCTTAACTGAACAAGGAATCGAAACATCAGATTATGATAACAAAGGATTGAGAGTTGCCTCTGACAGTTCATCTAGAGTTATTTTTGTCAATGGTAAATAACTTTTTATACTATCAAATTTTATTTAAACAGGGTTGCCACAAAACCTGGATACCTGGAAAAGTCAGGGAATTTTGATCGGAATCCTGGAATCCTGGAATGTTTCAAAAATTTTAATAAAATTTTTGGCAAAATTTCAATTATTTTGAAAAACTTTTCTCAATTCAATCAAATTTTTACAGAAATTCAATTATTTTTAATACAATTTTAATCTAATTTCTCGAAAAATGAAATTATTCTTAAAAATGTTATTAAAATTCGTCAAAAGAATTTTGAATACCTACCATTTTAAAAATTTGTTGATAAAATTCTTTATGAGAGTTGATTTTTAAAAAACATTCAATTCTTCAATAAATTATTTATTTTTGTATTTAAATAATTGAGGGGCTGGATGCTATAATGTGTTACGCGCCATTCACTTAACATGATGCGTAACACATTATAGCATCCAGCCCCTCAATTGAATTCTCGTAGAATTTTCTAATAAAAATTGATTCAACTATGAATTTCAGTTAAAATTTTGGATAATAATTGAATATTAAACTCTCTAAATTTGAGTTAGTAAAAATTTTTCTAATTTGAATTAGTGACTGACTTTTTGCTTTTTGAATTAGCAGATTTTACTAATAAATAGTCGTTTTTCTACTAATTTAATAGTAAAATTTACTAATTCAAAAGCAAAAAGTCAGACACTAATTCCAATTAGTAAACATTTTTACAAATTCAAATTTATAGAGAAAGTATTATAGCGTGAATTTTTAGAAATAATTGAATTTTGAAAAGGTTTCAAATTATAATCTTTGAATGTTTGAATTTTTCATACTTTTACCTGAAAATTGTGTAGATTTAATTTTTTTAAGTTATTTGAAGTTTTATTTTCTAACATATATATATATATATATATATATATATATATATATATATATATATATATATTTGATTGCAGAATTTCCGAATAATCGATGAAATTTCGTAAAATTGAATTGCAAACAAAAGGATTTGATAATTTTCAAAAATTATTAAAAATAATTAATTTAAAGTCGGTCATTTTTAATTATTATAAATCAATATCTTCATGTTTTATAATAATTTTTTGTAAGTTGTTTAATTTCAAAAAAGTTTGAATTTGAAATTTTTGAAAATTTGAAATGAGCAAAAGCGTGGCTACCCTGATTAAATTAGTATTAGAAATATTGTAATATAAATTTTTTCTAAATATTTAACTTGCAGTCGAAAAGCAAAATCTTTTTGAAATGAACACAAAAATTTAAACTTGAATTTTACAACTATTTTCAGTATTTTAAAATCATTTAATGAGAATCTGTCTTTTACAGATAAAAATATATATCAACAGACTACTGATAACATTACTGGAAATATTTCTATACACGATGTTAATGTGCAAGAGGAAAATGCATCTAATTCTTCAGAAAAAATGTCTTCTAGTCACGATGAATTTAAAGAAATATCTTCGCCTGAAAGCAAATATGAGAATGATGAAAGCGATGATTCGGATTCAGATGTTAGTATAGGTTTAACATTGAATTCGAAAAAGAGTAGTCAAAGTAATAAAGCAATGGAAAAGGTTAAAAAGTACATGTTAGAGTCTACTTGTTTAACTGAAGAAGAATTTTTAAATTTTATTAAACAAAGCAGAAAGAAAAATTCCAAGGCTAAGAAGAAGAAGAAAAAGTTTCCATTGAAATCCGTTAAGGAAAAAGTTAAAGCCAGTGTGAATGAAGTTAAAAATATTGAACTTGATAATGTAAATACAAAAATAAATCAACAAGAAACTATTGATGTTAGGGAAGAAATTTTACCTGATAGTGAGCACTTCTGCGAAGAGAAGGAAGAAAATGTTTCTACTTCTATTTCGAATACTATCGAATTTTCGAAAGAAGTGACTGAGGAAAAATCGAAAAGTTCGTTTGTACAAAATCAGTCAGGGAGTAATGATTCTGATAATGAATTTATTACAGTAGATTGTAAAAGGGAGTTAGATAAAAATAATGTTATTGAAATTTCAAACGAGGCAATTTTTAAAAAAGTGGTAAAAACAGATGAAGGGGCAAATGATTCGAATGTACAAGAAATATCCTCAGAGAATAGTGATTCTGACGATTTTATTGAAGTTGATAATTCGATTTTCGAAACAATTTCCACTTTTAATGAAGTCAAAGACAATTTTGATATAGTTGTTAAGCCTGTTCGCAACTTGGAAAATGATATGTTTGCTGATATTTTTACGGAAGAAGCCAAAGAATCGGAAAGTACCAGCTTAAAGAAATTGGAAAAGTTAGAAAGTACAATTATGAGTGAAGAGAAAAACGAAGATATTTGTAGTGATAAAAAAGGTGAAGGAAACAGTGAGAGCAAAAACATTTCCTACCATGCAGCGCCTCTAAAAGAAAATGTAGATACAGACGTTAGTTCTAAAATACCTTTTGGATCGTCAGAACGAAATCCTTCTTTGGCTTTCGCTGAAGCAGATATTAGTGCAACGCTGGGAATATTGGACAACGAACGGATGGAGTTGAGCGAAGAAATAGGAAAATTAGAAAGGCAGGCAGTAAACGTGACCGAACAAATGTCCATGGAAGCACAAGAATTACTCCGACTTTTCGGAATCCCTTACATTGTTGCTCCAATGGAAGCAGAAGCTCAGTGCGCTTTTCTGGAACAAATAAACCTCACCGATGGAACAATAACAGACGATTCGGATATTTGGCTTTTCGGAGCAAAGTGCGTTTACAAAAACTTTTTCAACAATAACAAAACAGTTTTGCAGTTTCGATCGTGCGATATTCAACACCACTTCAAGTTAGCCAGACAGCAATTAATTCAAATTGCTCTATTAGTCGGAAGCGATTACACATCAGGATTGAAAGGCGTTGGACCCGTAACAGCCATGGAAATTCTCTCCACTTTCCCAGCCGAAGGAGAAAACTTACTTCAAGGACTAACTAAATTTTCAGATTGGTTCAAGTCTGGCAAAATTTCAGAATCAAGTCTTCGAAATAAATTAAAAAATCTCCAAATTTCCGAGGGATTTCCAAGTCAAGCTGTCGTACAAGCATATCTTTTTCCAACTGTCGATGAGTCCAAAGAGAACTTCACTTGGAGGAAGCCGAATCTAAATCTATTGTTTGATCACGCCCGACGGAAATTTGGCTGGACGAAACTTAAATTCGAGGAGAAAATTAATCCCATAATGAAGAAGTTGGCGGAAAAGAGGAGTCAAAAAGGAATTGATGCGTACTTCCAAATGCGAACGACACCCAAGAACATCAAACAAAATTTAAGTAAACGACTTCAATCAGCTGTTAGTAGAATGGAATTGGAATCTGTAGAAGAAAATGAGAGGAAAAATTCTGATGAAGCGGATTCTTTACTTCTTGTTAAAGAATTAGGAGAACAAGAGCGTCTTGAAAATATTTCTAAAAACAAGGGCAATTCTTCAAAGCTAAAAAGTCCGGCTACCAAAGGCAAAAAAGCACAATCAACCGATGTGACTGTTGATAAAAAACATGAGGAGTACATACCTCAGAGAGAAAGTTCGCGAATTAAAGCAGAAAAGAAGAAACTCCACGCTATAGAAGTATTTAGTAAGTCAAAGAAAAAATCTGCTGCTAAAAAGAAAAATGTTAGACGTACTGGTAAAATTCTCAAAAATGCTGATCTATCAGAAAGTAGTAGTAGCTCATAATACATTAAACATGTTCTTTTTTTTAAACAAATTTTTTCTCTTGAAAATTTCGAATCTTTATCAAAATTTCCTGAAAAAGCAAGCAGTTTTCTTCAATTTAAATGTATTTGCATTAAAAACTTGAAAGGAAGAAAACGTACAGTATTTTATAACATTAGATTTTATTTGAAGAAATTAAAAAGGTAAATTTCCAACTATTGAATAGATCAGCTAAATATGTAATATTTGTAGTTCTACAGTTAAGCTTTAATAAAAGAAAAAATTTCGAAGCAATAGACATTTAAACAGAGTTAGAGAAATATTTTTGCATCAAAATAAGCTAAGTTATTTATTAAAGATTTATTTTTAAATAATATATATTATTTTAATTATTTATAAATTACATGTATATAAAGAAATGATATTTAAATAAAATAAATTACATTGAAATTAAATTGAATAAAACCTGCCAGTTCATCGAGAAATGTTCAATGGGAAAGTACTTGGTCCACCATAATATCTATTCAATTCACTCGAAGTCATCAGGGCAAGTGCTTTCTGGTGAATATATTCGGATGTGATTTCCGAATATTCAAGAGCACCAGGAAGACGAAAAGTATTCATTGTTTTGGCCGAGTACACGGCAATTAAATGTCATTCTCGATTTGGTGTTGTCGTAAGACGCTTCACGTCACTTAAAATTTCTCTTAAAAATTGTAAAAATGGAATTGTAAGTGCAGTGTCTGGACATGGGACAAGGAGGGGTCGGCGTCGCATCGACGGTGAATCCCAGTAATAATTAATTGTTGTTTCTCGACAGATTGACAATAAATTCATTATTGAAAAATACCCCCCCCCCCTCTCTCCGCGGTTTTTAGACATTTTCCTAATAATTTCTGAATTAGTCTGGCAAATATTGATTTTTCAATGTATGAATTTAGATTTGTTAACAGCGACTCCAAAAGACGCTAAATAACAATTTTAAAGTAAAATGAATCAATTTCTGAATAAATGACCGCCATATTGGATCCACCATTTTGAATTCTTGAAATGTTTCTGCAGATTTCTTTAACTTTAACATGATTTTCGTCAACATCTATTTTTTTTAATAAGAGACTTGAAAGTACATTACATTATATAAAATTTTAGCTTTGTTGGATAGAATAAAAGAATAAACTTTATTTGAAGTAAAAAATTTGAAAATGAAATCTTTATTCAAAGAAACAGCTGCAAAAATGATTTGAAAATTTCTTGAAGCATAAGATTAAATTAATAAAATAAGTTAAAATGTTCCATTGCCTCAAACTGAAATAATTGCAAAAAGTAACCCACTGTTATTAGTAAGTTGAATATTATATAAATATAAATATATATTAATAACAAGGAATCGAAAATAACAATTTTTTATAACGCTCGTTAACCTGAGTGAAGGGAAAAGATCAAAGTTTATTCACATAGATTACATTAATTATAAGATTTTCTTAAGTTAACAGTTGTAAAAACTTTTTAAATTGTATAATAATTAGAAATGTCTCCTAATTTATATTTTAATTGTCATTTCTTTTGTTTTAAACATCATTAGTATTATATATGTGGAAGTGTTAAAATATATCTACAATTCGATTTTAAATAAGGTATTTTCGTTTAAACTGGCAATCTTTTCTTCTCTATTTTGTGTTACAATTTCTTATTGTTTTATATATCGAGATGTACAAGTAATTAAAAGTATTGTCGAAAATCATACAATTTTTTTTTCGTTTTTCATAGTTTTTCTAATTAAATTCGCAACATATATTTCAAAAACAAATATTATAAGAATGTGAAATTACTTATATTTTGTACACAAAGCTATTTATCATCGTCGTATTTACACTAATAATAATAACAATAATCATTTCAATAATAATAATATAATTACTAATATAAATTAAAATTTGTCAAAAGTATATATATATATATATAACAAAGTGAGTTATGACAAGTCGTAATTAAAAAAATGCTAGCTATCAAAACTAATTAGAATCAGTATTTGTTTTTTGATTTACACCTCAGACGAAGGCGTTTAGTAGTAATGATATTGTGTCTGATTATCTTTGTTACTAACAGCCACGATAATTTTATATACATAATATATTTCCTATTTACAGTAGTATATCTTTTACTCGTACATTATCATATACATGTTATCAAAGGTGATAATATTATATATAATAAATATATAATATTATAAATTATATGACAATAGTATTTATAATACAGAGAGTGAATAGCGGATTTGTTATTCATGGCAAGGGATCACTTTTCTGAACTCGAACATTCTCCAGGTTGTTTCGCATTCGAGTAGTCAATTCGATAATGAGCTGAAATTAAGATTGAATCATGAATTTTATTATTCAAGGGGACGCCGCTTAAGTAGAAAAACAAAAAAAGTAAATTTTTTGTTGTTTTATTTTTTAAAAGTCGATTCAAATACGAATAAAATAAAACTATATACAACCTCTTCTGCTAAACTTGTTATTAATTATTTTATAAACAATAAATATTTATTTAAAATACACATTACACAGCCACACAAAAAAAAAAAGTTCTGATCTGGGGGTCTCACTATGACTATGACACATTTTTGAAAAGTTCATTGGATTCGCTTCAAATTCGTTACTCGGGGGTTTTTGGGGTCGCTGATTACGAATTTGAAGTCTGATTTCAAAAATTCAAAATGGCGGATCCAATATGGCGGACACGTTTTTGAAAAATTCATCGGATTCGCTTGAAATTCGTTACTCGGGGGTTTTTGGGGTCGCTGATTACGAATTTGAAGTCAGATTTCAAAAATTCAAAATGGCGGATCCAATATGTATGTGTCCGCCATATTGGATCCGCCATTTTGAATTTTGAAAAACCGACATCAGATTCGTAATCAGCGACCCCAAAAACCCCAGAGTAACGAATTTCAAGCGAATCCGATGAATTTTTCAAAAACGTGTCCGCCATTTTGAATTTTTGAAATCAGACTTCAAATTCGTAATCAGCGACCCCAAAAACCCCCGAGTAACGAATTTGAAGCGAATCCAATGAACTTTTCAAAAATGTGTCAGCCATATTGGTTTTTTGAGGTTATGTCAAAATCCTGATCTGATGAGGTTAAATGGACCTCGGATTCAGATTCAGCGACCCAAAAAACATAAAGTCTACATAGTGAGACCCCCAGATCAGAACTTTTTTTTTTTGTGTGGCTGTGTTATTAATAATTTTATTAAATATTAATTGTTGTGGAGTATAAAATTGTTTAATTTACAATGTTATGTCAATATCTGTTGTTTATAATTTATAATTGTTAATAATTTTTATTTATTTTATTTATTATTCATTTGTAAATGAAAATTAACTTTGCTATTATAATTGTTTAAACACATTTTAGAAGGTGTATATATACACTCTCGACCGTACCCTTAAAAGACCGTTCTTTAGACATCTGATCATAGGTTATATTTCAATTTATGGTTTTCCTTTATCATTTGGAAACACTTTGATTTTTGTTCGGAAAAAGTATTTTTTCTGAAAGGTTAAAGTTAACTGTTAAGAAGGAAGAAGAAGGAACTGCCTTTTTCACGGCGCAATCTGTGAGCGATAAAAATGTTGTGTGAACGAATTTTCTTGGGAAAAAGATAATTTTGAAATTTTTGTCTAGTCTGTTTTTACTGTAACTCTTGTGGGGTTCATTTTAAGTTATTTGTAAGATGAAATTTGAAAGATGAAAGTTTAAAAAATATACGGGATTTAACATCTTCATCATATACTTGTAGTGAAAAAAAAATTTGATATCTTAAACCGGAAAAAACCTAGGAATTCAATGACTAAAAAATAGTAGACACCTTGAAGCCAGTTTATAGTCAAAGCCCATTCCATCGAAAAACTTTATCTAGTTGACATGTGATCCATCAAATAATTTTGAAGACTAAGAATACAAAGGAAATAATAGAATAATTTAGAAGTTTACCTCTTTTAGTAAGATCTTCCATAGTTAGATCCTTACAGTCAGTTGCGAGATGACTATTGCTGCCGCAATTATAACAAGATATCTTCACAGGGGGGACGGCAGGTGTGTAGGTTACGACAGGAGGCGGCGGCATGTAGGGCTGCGGCAGAGGCACAGAATTCTGAGGAGGTGGCGGCGTACCTCCCGATCCTGGAAGCCCATGGTAAGGATACAGCATCTCTCCATTAGGCTGATAAGTGGGCGGAAATGCAGGCCGAGCAAATACCGCTGGTGAAAAGTTTGAGTAAACTCCACTGCTTGGTCGCATATTCGGGTAATGTCCGTGCGGTAAATACGTGATTTGTGAGTGAGGCGGCGGCATGGGAAAAGACATGCAATGCTGAACATTTGGTAGTCCTGCTCCATTCACCATTTGATTCTTGTGCCGCATAACGTGTGATTGACTCTTCCGGTTCCGCTGCCGTTCAGGAGGTGGTGGCATTGGTTGAGGGTGTGGCAGAAGAGACGATGTGGCAGAATGCAGCGGTGTGGAACCGACGTGGTCTGTGGTAGTCGGCACTGGAGAGCTCACCTCCGCACCACCCACCCAGGGAGCTGCTGGAGGTGTTTCGGGTGGAGAGCGACTCCCTGTACTCTCCGAACTACTGCTTTGAGAACATTGTCGATTATTTTCAGGATCTAACCTTAAAGCTTGCAGTTGTCCCAAACAGTAAACATGCTGAGCATTACATCTGTAAATGGTTCATTTTGAAAATTTTAATATTTTCATGATTACACTGTGTTACAAAAGAAAATGAAAAAACTTCTTATCAGACCTATTGCAGGTTGTAGTAATTGTAAGCCCGTTTACATTACTAAATAAATAAACGATTTATTTTAGATTATTTTGAATTGTTGCATTTTTTGTAATTGAAACATAAACTTTAAACCAATGTATGATAAATGGTATTATTATTATTATTATTATTGTTTAAAAAGTAAGATATTTTACCTAGAATACCGATTTTGCATCCCAGCCAAAGGAACAGTAAGACATGCATAGCATGGTGGAGCTTGAGCTGTGTACATTGGAGGTGTGGCGTACATCTGCATATTTGAAGTATCCATCGGTGGTAAGTTTGGATAACGCCTAATATTTGGCATATTATAATGGCCTTGATGTTGAGGAATCGGCGAATGTTCTTGTGCTGATAATAATTTGGCATTCATGTTCATATTCACATCACTATTTTCCATATGAGATGACATCTGCAACATTAGGCGAATCGGGACTCATGTAAATTTAATTCTCATCTTTTACATAAATAATACATTTTCTAATAATTCATGCAATAGTAATAGATAACGTTTATAAAAAGCAGCAGACAAAGAGAAGAATGAAGTGTTATTATTGACGTAATAAATGTTTCCTGATTGAGACATTTTAGAGAAGAGACAAATAAATTACCTCGTTATCTGTTTGATCTCCACTAGCCGATGAATTATTAAGGTACTCTCCTTTCTTATCATTTGTCATTTGACTTAATCCATTTGATGTTTGACTTTTCACAATGCTTCGCAATTGTCCTACTGCATTAGTAGTTAATCCTATATCCTTCAGATCTTCATCACTCATCCGTCTAATCTAAAAATTTAAGCAAGTTAATAATAAAATAAAAGTATAGGTATTTTAAAATTTTTTTACAAAGATTAAATATCTATTTCCTGTAAGTTTTATAATTTCTTTCTGAAATGATAGGAAAATAATAGTGGATAATGTCTCGCAGAAAACGAAATATTTGCAGGGTGCGCTGTAACCCAAAGAGAAATCGTCAATTAATTTGACATCAATTTTACTATTGTAGGTAATCAATGATCAAAATTTTTAAAAAATTTGACCATGTTTTTAAGCGTTAATTAATTGTCATAATTAATATTATAATACTGTATTAAATTAATTTACTTGTGAGAAGTTTCACGTCAACCGGCCCAGAGCTCCTTCCAAAATTCTAATCAACGAAAATCAACTTATTACGGCTCAAAATAATCGTCAGCTTATACTGTTTCGAATAAAAAGTGTCGAATTAAAAAATTCCAAATAGCGTCCTTACTGCACCAATTTTTGCAAAAGTTTCTATCATTTTTCAAAATTAAAATGTGTTGTTTGTAAATTTCTAACATAACGAAGAAGATCGAGGTTCATTTTCGTGGTGCATAAAATGAAGGAAATAAAAATAAATCTTTGCTGAAAGATACATTGACAATTGACAAGCATTTATTATTCGCTAAAATCTTACCTCATCAAGTGTTAAATTTTGCAGGTTTCCCTTATAATTGGGCATTTCCTTTCCTAGCGTCTCCCTTAAAGAATCACTACAACCAGTTGCTCGTAGTCGAGGAGGAGGTGGTGGTTGTTGTTTTGACAAAGACGAAGCGTGAGTCGCTGTCATTTCAGCATTATTATGAGTGTAAGAGGCAGTGCTATTTATTGGCGGTTGGTTGGCCCGCGAATGGAGTAAGGGTGGTTGTTGACTAGGTAAACTTCTATTCACGGAAGCTAATGCAGGAGGAGGTAGGAAAGAAGCAGAAGAATTTGAAATGTTCGTTTGGTTGTTAGTGGCGTTTGTTGATGTTGAAGTGTTTGACACAGTCTGAGTAACTTGAGAAGACGTGCGAGCTACTGAACTGTTTTTTCGAGATGGCGAATTATTGCGACTAGGAGATCGGGATTGGGAAGGTGACGATTGTCGACTGACTAAAGGAGAAGGTGGATACGCCAACATTTCACCTGTGTGATACATTAATTGATTGCCCATTAGAACCTGCCCAGTCCACGGTTGCATGTGATTCATTGTGGGAAAACCAACATGAACGTATTGTGAGTTTAAGCCAGTTCCTATAGACATTTGCTCAGGTGAAGGTAAGCATAAGCCCGGAGGTGGAATACTTAGCCCTGGAGGAATACTCGTATAAATTGCATTCCCACGCATTTCACCTACAATCATAAATATAATGATAAATACCAATTATTCTACAGTTCTGTTCCAACCTATCTCTTTCTTTTTCTCGAATTCATTCTTTTCCTCTAGAGATTTTTGGCGCTGTTGCCGCTTCTACCCTTCTTTTTTTCATTTACGACAAATAGGCATAGAAGTTGCTAACTTTGAATAATATTTTCTTAACAATTAATTCCATATTTTAGTAAAAGCTGCATTATATTATCGTTTAAAACATATTAATTTTTTTTAAAAAAATCTGTAAAACCGTTTTCTTACATAGTCATTTTGCATGTTTTTTTTAACAATTCCCATGTAAAAATTCAAACTTTATAAATTTATATTTTGAAAACGGTACGGTTGAATTCAACAAAATTTTAACCACACATGTAGGGTAAGTCTGGGGGAGATGGCCATAGTTTTTTTTAAGTACTGTAAAAATTATAAAAAAGCGATTTATGTCTAAACTTTTATTGATAATTAAACATTGAACATTTAACTTTGAAGTAACGAAAAATAAAATATTTTCATAGGAACAATCTCAAATTTACATTTTGTAAAAAGTGCATTTGGCCATCTCTAACGGACATTCCGGGAGAGATGGTCACATGTGTGTCAGACATTTTTAATTTGTTTTTCTTTAATATTTCTCAAGTATCTAACATTAACATAAAAAATTTTAAATAAGAGTCATTAATGGCCATCGCACCCAAAAATACATGACAAAAGTAAACATCAAAATATTAATAAATAAAATAATTTTTCCATCCATTTTTTTTATATCGAAGCGTGGGTTATGCACCACTCAATAAAACTTTAAATTAAAAAATCCGTTAAAAAATAACAATATAGCAATAAGAAATCTGAAATTCTCTTAAATTATTTTGGACCCATGCAAAAAAAAAAATAAAGAAGGATTGCGCTTACATTTTAATTATTTTTCAACAATCTGTTGTTTACATTTATTAGTAATCACAAAAGGTTGAAGAATAACCCATAATAAGTGATATTAATTTAAAAATTCTGTAAGATATTTGAACTGGCCATCTCCCCCGGACTTACCCAAAAATAATGCCATTGATATCTTTAAAATTTTACAAGAATCTGTTAAAAATCGATTTTGGGATAAACCTCCTTAAATCATTTTATTCTATTTAGGACAATGTTTTATCACCCACTTAGATCACAAATATCTATACTATAAAAATAAAAAAATTTAATCTCTATTTTCTACAGTTTCCTGACGTGGAAGGGATTTTTGATAAGTAACTAGATTTCAATACTCACCAGGATAGGTTGGCATTGTTGACGGAACAATGCAGTTAGATCCTAATTCAACATCTATCATACGATCGTTTGATACATAGGGTAAACAACTCTGAAAATATAACACCAAATTAAATATAGAAGATATTTTTAGTATATGTATTCTTTGAATAATTTTATTATTATTGGGTGAGTCCGCGTCAGAAATATCACAATCTACAAGTGGTTCGTAGATTTTAATGAAACTTGATAAAATTGTAGTATATTATGAGAAAAAATAGTTAGCGAAAGGAATTTTTAAAATTTAATAAATTGTAGGAGTTATACTAGTTTAAATTTTGACGCTACATTTTCTTTATTCTTTTATACCTCGGAAAATTTTCAACCGATTTTGATGAATCAAGCACCGATTTTTTCAGAAAATGACGTATTTTCAGAACGAATTCAAAAAAGGATAAATGCTGCTGCTGTAAAAGCCTAAATCAGCTTCACGTCATAAAAACTTTATGTTCTGTGTACAATTTGAAAAAGTATTTATGAACCACTTAATGTTTAGAAGGAAATATTCAACTCAGTCTGTCCGTAATTGGCTTTCAATTACAATGTGCGTAAAGATTTTCAGACTGAAGAATAATAAGTTGACAAAAAAATCTAAATTCGTAATCTTACCATAACATGGTCCATACCTGAGTGCATTAGTCTAAATACTTGCAATATTTAAAATGATTTAAACTCGTTTTTAGTAAAGTCTAAAAATATAAAAAGACATTACTTGGGTTGCTTTGTTGGACGTCAAAGTAGTCGACTTGGCAGTATTAACTCGAGCCTCCTCTTCCTGAAGTTTAACAAATATGTTGCCAAATGTATTCTTTTGATCGTAAGTAAAAGCAGGATGGTTAAGTGCCATTGCGTAAAGCAGCAGGAGTTCCTCAAGAGCTTGATCTTCTTGATTTGAACTGGTCCCATTTAACACGTTTATAACTTCTTGTACATCCAAATTGGCTAAATTCTTGTAAAGAACAACTGCACAAGCATAGTTACAAGAATGCAATAACGCCATGTAAAGAACAAGTTTTCTTCGTGTACGTTTTTCTGTAACACTTTCAGATGTCAATTCCGTTAATTCCATGACACTGTTAGCATGGTGCTCTGTATCACGTAGATCATTATAATCCCGCTTCCCTTGGTCCTCGACGCAGGTACCGATATACCGCATTTCAAAGGGCAAGCACATATTTAATAGCGTGCACATCACATCAATGCGTTTATAACTGAAAACAATTAAAAAAATATTATAAAAGTAAAACAAAAATACCTTTAAATCTCATATTATTAAATTAGAACACACCTTCTTCAGATTTATATAAACCAGGGACCTTCACGGAAATCGAATTTTGATTTCGTTATGATACGTTAAAACAAAACGAAATTATTAATGTATTTTGATTTGGTAACGAAACAAAAGTCCATTCCACTTTAGTTTTGTTCGCTGATATAGAAACAAAAGTCACTTTCTATTTTGATTCTGATACAGTAACGAAACAAAAGTCTACTTCAAATTACATTCGATTTTCTTGTGGAAACCGAATTCGATTCGAATTTCTACTTCTGATTATTTGCTATTGAATAAAATTTCAGATATTCATATCATAATTAAAAAGGAAAGACTTTTGATATTGGAATTAAAACTAAACAGAGTGGAATTTTGATTTTGATATAGAAATCGGAACGTAAACAATATTTATTTTTGATTCGGTAATCTGAATCGAAACTAAATAAAGACTACTTTTGATTCTGATACCCATATCCGAATCAAAACAATAGTATTTTTTAATTTTGTTTTGATTCCGTGACAGTCCCTGATATAAACAATTAGAATTTATTTTTGAAATGAAAAATATTGCACGTGACTGGGCAATCGAAAATAACATTTGCCAAACTCATCTAGACCAATTGCTAAAAATTTTAAGGAAGCGGTTGATACCTGATTTACCTGCTTACGCCAAAACTTTGTTGAGTACATCTTCTGCACACTACGAAATAAAGGAAATGCTTGGAAGTGATGGTTAACCAGGAGAATTTGTATACTTTGGTCTCGAAAAAGGAATGGCAAATGTTTTAAACGCAGAAATACACAACAGTGATACTATTTGGCTACAAATTAATATTGATTATTTGCCTCTTTTTAAATCTGACTTGTTAAATCTTTGGATCATCCTCTGCAAGTTATATTTCGAACCGGATATCTATAAACCGTTTATGGTAGCTATCTTTTCTGGGAATACAAAATCTATGTGACTAGATGACGATTTTAAAGAATTCACAGCAGAATTCGAGAAAGTAATATAGAGTAATAATAAATCCGAATCCAGTGCTTTATTTGCTATACCTCAGCAGGTTGTTTCATTTACCTTCTTTAAAAAATAGGATTTGAAGGTAGTCGGTTTTAATGGATTTATGATTTCATAAAAACAGTGATCCACAATAGGGTCATTGACAAAATTAAGTCTATCCTTAAAGAAAGTGTCTATTGAAACCTTCTTATTCCATACTGCTTAGAATTGCACTTCAAGCAAAATATTCAAGAAATAAGTGAGTAATGTTATGTTTTTAGTATAATATCTAATGAATTATTTTACACTAACCTTCTAAGTGTTTTTTAAATTATAAAAATTTAATCAAGAAATAAGTAATAAATGCACAATTTCAGCAAAGACTAAATAGATTTGTCATTTAACTTATTGCGGTGTTTTCTGATCTTCAATGCAGCTCGAGGAAATAAACTTTCTAAAGATACTGATGTCGCTGGTATTGCCAAAAAATCACGAGTCATTTTTCTAAGGTTCGGGCACTGTTGCTGCTGATCTTTCCACCATTTTAGGACATCGATTGTAGCTACGGCTTTATCTGCAGCAAAATAGTAATTTAATTCTTGTTGATAATCATTTTTTCTTGCTTTTGATTTTGCAGATTGATGACTTAAGTGCTTGTTAATTTCCTACAACAAGACCCGTTCTTCTTCGCTGATCATTAATTTTCGCAAATCTGAATTACTTTGTGTTAATAAATTTATAGATGGGTGCATACGAATAGCTAAATGTATCATCGCACGTATCGAATTACATCTAGTCCATCTTGTCTTTTCATCGATGTTGGGTATCAATATTTTTGTTACACAAATTTCGCAACAGGATTTCAGTTTGCTAGTCCATTGTTCGAATCTCTTCAGAAGTGTGAATAATGTTCGAACTCTAAACAGTAGTGAACCCGTTTGGTGTGTTTTGATATAATTATTTAAGACCTCATCTACTCCACCTTCATCTTCTTGATTTTCTTCACCAAGACCAATTTTTTCAACATCATTTTCATTAATTTCTCCTTCACGCTCATCATCACTGACATCAGCAAGATTCAATACTTTCAACATACATTGCATTGCAATATTGTGCACTGTTCGAAGCGTGCAAAAACTAAAACATTCAGGTCCGTATTAAGAAAAATAAGGGTCCCCCACTACTAAATACCGGGCACCACTAAATGATACTAAATAATCAAATGAGCGACGGCACTGTATTTGACGTCACAGATTCCCTTTCCCTTTACCCCCCGAAACCCCTTGTCTACTCAACTCACTAATGACTGCACTGTTCAGAACTGCACTATTGAAAGATCCTACTGTATGTGCATAGCATTTTTAGTGTTGGTTTTTATAGTCGAATGACATCAAGAGAGATAACTCAAAAATGAACCGATCATTTGCTAACGTATTGTCAAGTGTTATGCCCAAAACTTTACATTTTATTCCATAATTAACAACTGCATCGTGAAAAAATTTCGTCAAATCTTTATCAGAATGACTACTATAACAAGGACAAAAATCAATAACATTTGAGTGCAATATCCAATCATCGTCAATAAATTGCGTTAAATCCGCGATGAGTCATTGCAGTCCAAGCATCCATTCCATAGTGAATGACATTTTAGATGTATTGCTTTGAAAGATTTTTTGAACATTCAATTTCATTTTCGAAAAGCTGTCTTGCTGTCTACAATCATACTTTTTGATCGATTACGCTTAGGAATTTTAGACAAGGGATTCATAAAAAAACAATTTTTGTGTTGTATCATCATCGAAAAATCTGAACGGGAGATATTTTAGAGCCATCCAGTCCACTATCTTCTCATCCAGCTTTACTTGTTAAAACACCTATTTAATATTTTACTTAACTTGAGTGTAAATATATTACAATGTTAATAATAGATTAAATAATTAATTATTTATTAATATTTTTAATTTGAAGAATTAATAATTTAAATATTTATTTAAATGAATAAACAATTGAATGAATGAAAAGATTGTTGTTTCAATTTCTTGTCATTCGAACAAAATAATACAAGACAAAGGAACATATCGGCTTGACGTGCAACTCTAATACTGCTATAAATAATAGACTTGAAATTTGTCTAAAAAACAAGCAATAAGACTTTAAAGTAAAAATAAGAATCTTAAGGCATCTTGATCCACCATTAGTGCAGTCGCCCTATATCATCAAAATTTTTTCTTTTCCATTTTTTCAAAATTTGAAACAAATTGTTATTTGTATTTTTTGAAATAACTTTTTTACCTATATAAAAAATGAAATATAAACTTTCACAACTTCCTTTGTATCAAAATTAAAGAAAATAGCTGTTTTCAGAGTTCTGGTTGTTTTTCGGGAAAAATAAAAATTTTTGGGGTTCCAAAAGTTCTTACTGTTTTTTTTGTATTCTGTATCACTAAATAAACAACTCATCAATGCAAAATTTTCAAATAAAATTCGGTATGCACCCAGCCTTTGGAAAATTCACAAGGATGATCAATCAGCTGATCAATTATTGTTTCGTCTTAACTCAGTAAGGCAATTCATTGGTGATTTCTCTTCCAAACACACCGCGGTCGTTCAAAAGCATAAAAAACTAAAAATAAAATGGAGTCACTGAAAATTTCCGACGCTAAGCATGATTGAAGTAGGACCAACCAGGAGAAGAAATGACAACTGTTACAAAAACAAAAAGCAAGTTTGAACCAAAACTGTTTGCTTTAGAAACTACCACAAAAAATAAATATTATCTGGCTGAAAAAACACTTCTTACAGAAACAATTGGAATTTTATAAAATCAGAATATAACAAGAAAAGAATTAAAAAAGAACAAAAAAACTTAAAGCCCCCCCGTTAACTTCTACAATTATGGACCTAATAAATTTTCATTTGATACCCATACTTGATTATTCACCATAAGTGTATCACAAATAAGAAGGACGATATATTTGTTACGCATCTAATTGCAGAACTCATGGAAATTTATTGCAATTATAATGAACACGTTTATTTTATCTAAAAGATGATTTATGGATATTTGTTTATTGTCTACTACACAAGAACTCATTGCCAAGCTGCCAATCACAGAAAAGAATATTTATCCCAAGGATATAACAAATGTTTTTAACAATTAAAGTTTATGGTTATGAACTAGAACGCAGAGAAAAGTTAATAGTTTAGGATTTTATTATTTTTATATGGATGATTCTTCAAGATGTCGTCACTTTTGACAAAAGTACATTTAAAAATTTTCAAATTACATTTTTCCTTACTAATCTCATCAATTCGTATTAAAGTATGTGTCCTAACATTTTTTAAAAGTTACGGACAAAAGACTTTTTTTTTCACTGATTCATTAGCGCATATACGCTAATTGGAATCTGTGGTATACTTATAGCTGGTAATCAGTGAAATTTCGCTCATTCAAATTTAGACAGTTTAAAGTACTCTCATTTTATGTCTCGAGATATTTATTAAAATATAATGTTTACATAGGGGAGAGTGGCAAACCGGCCAGGTGTCAATATCTCCGAAATGACGAAATTGTAAAAAGTGCTATTTAGAAATTTGAAACAACCATGTGTAGTATACCTTATTTTTTAAATTTGACAATTTTTACATTTGTTTATGCAACGCTGGGAGGAAAAGTTTTTTTTTTAGTTTTTTTCTACACTTTTACGAATTTTTTCTTAAGGAAATTTTGAGGAAATCGTGTAATATTTCCAAATATTAGGTCTTGGGTTTTGAAGGTACACACCTCAGGAATATTTACCACTAAAAACTTTGATGAATTTGCAAAGCGATTCTTTTAAACAAATATTTATTCTCAAAATGAGCCTGTGGGGCAAACCGGCCATAGGATATTATCATTGTATCAGAGTTTCAAAAAAATTATTATTAATTAGAATGTT